GCTAGTGCTCTACCACTTGAGCCACAGCACCACTTCCGGCTTTTTTCTTTTTGCTTATGTGGTGCTGAGGAATCAAACCCAGGGCCTTGAGCATGCAAGGCCAGCGCTCTACTGGGAATCCGCTGGATGTGATACATTAAGGCCAGTTGGGACACAGAAGAGATTGAGAATTTGTTGTTCTTGCCCTACTTGGTCAAAGTGTTCATGAGACCCCATCTGAATAAAAAAGCTTGGCATGCTCCCATCCCAGCTACTAGAGGAAGCATAGAAGGACCAGGACAAAAAGACGTTAAAGTGTGGCTCAAATAGTAGAGCCCCTGCCTAACAAGTTAAATCCCAATACTACTTCTCAACAACCTGGGAATCAGAAGTAGAGAACAGTTATGATTCCATTAAATGAAGTTTAAAGATGAAATAATTACTGTTAGTATTGCTGACCATGCTCCTTTTTCATATGTGGGTTTTAAGGTGAGCAGCTGTACAGTTCACTACAGTTGCTAACACTGTTCAATTTAGTAGTTCTGTCTTTAGACAGTGCTACAGAACTGACTCTTACTGAGCCAAGAATGCTAAGTATTTTATTTTTCCAAGGTCACATTATTAGATGGGGAGAACAATTTGACTTCCTCGTGTTTTTTTTATATAACATTTTGCTTAAGCCGTTTTTCTCTTCTCTTGCAGTGACAATCATAGGAGGCATCGTGTTCTTGGCATTTGCATTTTCTGCACTATTTATAAGTCCTGATGCTGGTTTTTAATGAGCTATTTGTCTGGATTTAGCTTGAGATAGATAACTCTTGTCTTTCTGTACATAGTGTAAACTAAAAGTAATGGAAAGTACTGTATTTTCTATCATTGATTTGTGAGTTTGACCCATTTAATGAAAGTATTACATCCAAAAGAGATAATCATTGATTCTGTAAAATGTAAAATGGATTTTTAAAAGAAACCTGACTTTGAAGTGTGGATTCTTCTCAAACATAATTATGGTAATAATTAGGTCCCCATTTGTATTTTGGTATCTCCAGAACCATTGTGGGGTCTGCTACTTGATTTTCTTTCAGCCTGACCCCTTTATAAGGAATATAAAATTTCTCCTTAGTCATTGAGGTGTTTTAAGATGCTTACCTTGAAACTGTCAAAGATGGAATTAATTTCTATTTTTTAAAACATTTCCCTGAGCCAGTAGGCAGTAGTTTAAATCATAAATCTTTTAAGTTTAGAAAGAGAAATACTGTGTTACTATTATTAATAACATGATGCAATAAGAACTATTTGCTAGGTCCATTTTTCCTTTTTTAAAAATTGGGTAGGACACCCAATATAGAAACAGTCAATATTTGACAATGTGGAATTACCAAATTAAAAGAGAATACTATCAATGTATTCATATTTTTTCTATATTGAATAAACAATGTAACATAGAAACAATGTAAATAAAAATGGTGTTACCAGTACTTGGTTTTCCTTGTGTGTTATGCTGATTATAAGCTTTCTAACTTATTAGTGATTATATACCAATTTTTCAAAGTAGAAGTAAAAAAATCTTGATGGCATAGCTACAACAAAAGTCTGAGAGTATTCTAAAACTCAGCTTTGCCTTCATAGATCTGTGAGCAACTAGATAGCAATGCAAGGTTGGGGAGGACCTTATCCAGAGGTGACTGGTACTACAACAGGGAGTCAGAACAGGCAGTTCAGTTTCAGAGCTTATGGCTGTGCAATGTGCTAATAAGGCTGCCTTGTTTTATCATGGCGATTTCAGCGATCACTGCCACCTACAGTATATTGTAACTTTATTCTCCACCCAAGTGGCAATATGAAGGCCAGATCCACAGAAATATCCAGGTGTTCCTGTGTAGAATATAATAAGAGCTCTAACAATTCTGTTTACTGAGCTACTACAAAGGTTTACAGTAAAATTGGTCATCTGAAGTAACTCTGAAAGAACCCAGCTAATCACCAAGTGTTTTACAAAATAATTGTGGGAAAGACAGCTAACTACTAAAGAAGAGCTTCCTTTGAATGTCCAGTTAGTGTATAGTACATACTAACAAAAAAAATCGGTTTTTTGAAACTAAGTTCTCCATCATAAAAAGTGTATATTACAGGTTTGAAAGATACCCACAAATGAAGACAAAATACTTTAAAAAGTCAGGCAACAATAGCTCATGCCTGTCATTGTAGCTCACAAAGCTGAGATCCGGAGGATTGTAGCTCAAAAACTCGCTTGGGCAAAAAAGTCCTGAGAGGCTATCTCCAAAAGTAATAATGAAAAAGGGCTAGAGGCATGGCTGATGCAGGAGAGCGCCAACTGAGCAAGTGAGAAGCCCTGAGAGTTCAATCAAAACCTTGGGAAAAAAACCACAATGAACGTTCAAGAGGTTGCCTTTTAAGGTTAGACACTTAAAAAGATTATCACTAACAGGATTCCTTGTGGGAAGTAGTAATAGTATCTCAGCTTGATAGTATCACGAACTTGATCAAGTAGCCCGATTTCAGCACTGGCTTTAAAGAGCTTTTTGAGGCACCACTAGCAGTCTTTCCAGAGAACCTAACTATTTACACAATTTGGCAATTCAGACCTAAGTTATAAGGCAAGAAGTGCTAATGCAGTTAGGTCCCGCTACTGAATAAAAAAGGAAAATGTTAAGAGATTTAAAAATATTTAATAAGTCTACAAATTCAAAATGTGATTCTTACAAGTTCTGTGCCACATAAAGCAGATATCACTTCTGGAAAAATGCAGATGATACTGAAAAACAGCACTAGCACTGAGGTATTTTTTTATTTTTTAAGTTGAAGAAAACAAAGTCTGGGTCTATTTTACATTTAAAAAAAAACACCACCAAAAAACAAAAAATCCACAAGTCTCCCCCCCCTCCCCCAACCGAAATATTCCACAATGCTACTGCTTGGCTCTTTCGCTATAATTTTAGGTTCTGAACACATTACAAGAGACTATAGGAAAGAACATTATAATAGAACATGTAGATTTTAAGAGCTACACACATCAAAACTTGGAAAAATGATCATACATGAAGAGGCCTAAGTGGAGGTAGGCTAGTAACACACTTTTACTTTCTTCTCAGTACAGCTTAAAAACAAGCCGTGACCAATTCTAATACCGAATTAAAATGCCAATATCAAGCTGGTAAGAACCCATATATTTTATACAGTATTGTATTTCCAAATACAGCTCATGAATCAGAGAACCTAATATAGCACCGATGAATCAGCATTATTCCTCATCCTTATAATGCAATTTAGGGTTTTGGCAGAAGACAATACCTGAAAAATGCCTATTTTCATGTTTGCAAATTAGTTTGGATTTCATTTAAATATTCACGTTATGGAAAGATCAGTAGCCATTTCTAGCGCCATCCATTTGGAAGAATGATGGGGATATATCTACTTTGGATTAAAAACCCCAGAACCAAGCAGTAAAGACAGCAATGCCAGGAATAGCACACTAAGAACTACACAGAACATTAGCATTTGGTGTGTTTTTACAACTACCAACTGATGTTAACAAAAATTTACAAAGATACAACTTTTTTTTTGCACTAACTGGTTTCAATATACACTGATTAACTTGTCTTTGGGCTTTGATCTTTACAGAAGAGTGACTCTGAAAGTGCCAACTGAGGCCCTACAACCACAGGAAAATAGATTTCAAACTAATTAGAATGGTGTAAATTACAGCTGTTCCTGCTGACATGTATTTTATAAACAGGACATTTCCTGGACAATGATTTTTTTGCTTGAAGATGATTGTCTAGTATACAATACATTAATTAGAAGGTAGCATACCTTTTCCTACATTTTAACTTCTTGGTAATGGCTCAGCCATTACCAGTAGTGAACCTGCACCAGTACAAGTCAACTCAAAAAGACACAAAACAATTCAATGTCATTTCCCAAAGTGATGTCACAGTTTGTTTCCTTAGAGATTTAAAAGCATACATGTGAAAATAGCGTATCTTTAAACCTGTTAATACATTTTATTTGTACAAAATAAAATCCATCCTGTTCGCGACAATGTTTTAATTACCCATTCTCTTAAGGGATCCCGAGTGAACCTTGCCTTGCCTTGCCTATGGGAGGTACAGCTTCAAGCAGCTCAGGAGCCCTAAAGTGGAGGATTAAGTTTCAATGAGTGAGCCGGAAGGATTCTTGGGGTATGTCCAGGCTATACTGGACAGTGCTGTGTATAGAGGTTTTGTTTTCAAAAAGACCAAGCAACACTACAACTATATAAAAACAGCAAACTTTTGTAGAGATTTTCAGTGTGTATATTCCATCTATTATTTAAGAGCTTTCATATGGATATGATAATGATAGCCATTAGAATATGCTGATCATTTAATATTTCCCCAAATGGGCAAAACAGGCAATGAGTGCCATTGGTTCTGTCATATTGGCCTTTGGCTGTGCTGGGAAAATTATGTAAAAAGTCCCCATAAAATAGAGAAGGCAGCAAGTGAAACTAGAAAAAGGTTGGGGCTATGTGAAACACTGAGGAAAGGAGTTATCTTTTAAATCTTTTCTTAACTGGGTTGAAAGCAGAGGAAGTGCAGGGCGAATGGAATGGGCCCTCCACTGCTCTCCTGCCCTGAATAGATTCAGGTTGTCTTGGAGAGTCATTGAAAGGACTAGCAACTGCCTCAGATAATATCCAGTTCTCCAAGTATAAGACAGTGATGCAAAACAAGACAAATCACACATTAAATCACAAACACTGAAATCACTGATGAGAAAATGATGAAATGATATTTTAAAATATAAATAAATATATTTAGCAATTTTCATTCAAGAAACCCAGAGAACTGCTTTCAAAAGCAACTATCTTAACCACCTTCTAGATTCTTTCTTAATACTTACTATTTTGATTGTCATCTAATGCAGCACCTCAATGTTTGCTGCTGGTGGTGATAGGATTTCACTTAATAGTCTCTTCAGAAACTATCATTTCACTAAAGACCTTCCCTGGGAAAACCCAGGCAGCTCACATGTTAAATACTCAAAACCTTCAAAGTATTACTTAAGAAAACAAGGAATGTAGTGTTATGACAATGGGGGGAAAAAACTATACAGGAGTCACATGGAAATAAAGTATTTTAATTTTAAATATCCAAGTTTGCTTAATTTCTTATGAATTGTTCAACACTGTTTGAAATATCCTGAATTAATTACTACAGGAACAAAATGGATCCTGTGTTTTCACAGGAGACATTAAAAATAAGACCAAATTAAACTTTTTCTTTACCCAAAACAGTCTTTCAGTCCTTTTTGTGCAAAAATATTACAAGAGCAATTCAAATGGAAACGCTGAAATGACATGCCAACATTTCAGGGCACATTTAAGACACTCAATTACTGTGTTCTAAAATATTACTACCAATCACTTTTAAATTAATTCTGTATATCTACTCACACAGATGCAATTTCCTAGACCTCTGATAATAAACAGGCTCATTGGTCTCTTTTGGTGTCCACACAATAGGCAAGATTAGGTTTACAATAGTGTTTAAATGGAACTAGCCATCTACAACCTCTTGACTCCACCACATTCAAAATAAGAGTTCATTTGGCTACCTTGAAATCACTCCCATAAACCTATGGTTCACTGGATCTAAACATTTCTCAGAAATGTGTCATAATTTCACCTAAGTGATGATTTGGGGATCCTTTAGAAACAGTTAATGCCTAAGCTAATAAACTTTTATCAAAATGAATAATTGCAATAAAGTGCTTATTACATTTCAAAATGATGCTTTTAGACTGTGGTATGTTTGTTGTTTGAAGTGTGTGCTGTTCCTCCCATAAAGGATCCCCAGGCATGAGAGTCTGATCTCACCTGTCAGAAAAAGCAGCAGCACTATCTTTTGGTAGGCTGACAATAGGCACATTACCCATGCGGATGAGGCTACACTAGGGCTATGGCAAAGGGGGAGGAAATTGGAAAAGTGGGAGGCATGTGGAGGGCTCCTACTATACTATTGTTACATACAAATATATTAAATATGCTATAAAAATAGTCAACTCTTCTCCTTTGCAATTACTTCAGGACACTCCTTTTAGAAGAATGCTCACTCAATCCAGACAAACATAAACGGTCTCTCCAGTCACTAGTAAAATGGCAAGTGCTTTTGTGCTGATTCTTCACCATTAAAAGTTCCAATCTGCTTACTCCTGGCTAAACTCACTTAGCAATATTAATATCCAGTGTTTATACCTTCCAACATGGACTCCTGTGGCACTAAGAGCAGAGCCACATATATTGGAAAAGTTGTAGGCTTGAGTTTTACACAAATGTTCAACAACCTTTCATTCACTAAAGAAATAGGAAAAAAAAAAAGAATACTAAAATGCTATCTGCATCCCACTAAAAGTTTGCCTCAATGTAGTAGAAACAATTTCAAAACAGTAATCTCCAGGTGAAAAGAATTAACATCCAGGTAGACTCTTTTAAGGGTCCCTTTCTAAGGCTACTTCAATCATCTTTCTTCAACCCAATGCTCTTTATAGAGCTGGACTGTTTCAGTACCCCTAATCAAGAGACAGCGTTAAGGCAGTGACCAACAACCATACACATGTAAAGAACTCAAACAACATGCTCACTATTCTGCACTGGGTTTTGTAACAAACGTCATAATCACTGGCATTCTTTAATCACTAGTACATTCCTAAGCCACAGCTACATGTGACAAGGCAGAGCACACAGCACTCTTAAACTTCCCACCTGAATTTAGGATGGAATTTGGAGGTGAACAAACCCACTACCAACCTACTACATTTGCTTTTCCTCCCATATTTTCCACTAAAAAAACTGGAGTACTTGTAGGTGTCGGGGTTCTGGCTTGATAGCGCTTTCAGCAGCAACGGTCAGTCCAAGCATTTGTCACCTGTACTTGTGAAGCTACACTGATAGCACAGAAGCCTGAGCAAGGCAACACTACAGAACAGCCAGCACCTGCCCCATCCCTTAACAGTTCCTTACTAGTAAGCACCACCAGCATGACATGCTTTTAGGAACTGAATCCCTGTGAGGGAAAAGCAGAGGGAAGATCTGTAAGAACCTGAAAGGTGTTTCCATTTGTTACCACTTTATGATTTAGATGTGGGATTTTAATTAAGAACTTTGGCTACAGAATTGAGGGAAGAATGAGAAACTGTTGAATCTTCACTAAATACTTAAGTCTCATAAGGAAGGAGATAGGGGTAGTTTTGCAAACCCTAGTTCAAGAGAGCCAGGAGGGAACCAAGGGTAAAGAGATGCTGACTAGCTTTCCCAACACCACTCTCCATACTGACAGCAGAAGTTATCAGCTAACTGCTCCTTTAAATTTAGCAAGTGTCAATTTCAAGCAGGAAAAGTTCACCTTATTCCTGAATAAAAGGAATTACTATGAAAAACTTTAGTTTTTTTCCCTAAACATTTGTGAATATAGAAAATACTTGAAGAGGATGGGGTAGAAGAATGTGAGTAAATAAAAGTTTAGAAATTTACCTTGTGGCTTATCTTATGTTTTGCTTTTGTTAAGTACAGAGTAGTCACAATCTTTCTTCTAATTATGGTATTCAGAGGTTAAGCCTTCATGTTTTGTTAGCTAAATCCTTATCACTCTGTATTGCCAACAAATGAGGCACAACTCAGATATATACGGAATAGCAGAAGGTTGAGAAAGGCAATTTGGAGACAATCAGTTCTGCCATGTGTAAGCTCAAGTACACATACTTTCTGACAGCTACTCAATGTTCATGGAATGTCAGAAATCTCTTCTGAATTGCCATTTAATTAGAAGAATTCTATGATATGTTAATAATTATTGAGTAGCATCTTGGCATACCTCTTTTTTACAAGTATAGGTACCAATTTTCTTTGGTTATTTTCAACATTAACTTTCTAACTTCATTGTGCCCAGGTATACTTTTGTTTTGTAGCAAAACAGAAGATATTTCTTAAGGATGACAGTAAAGCCAAAGATCAAGAACTGATTTAGCATATTCCCCTGAGCCTTTTATCTAGAAATTCTCCATTAGATTATCATCTTTACTCAAAATCTTAGCAACTTCACCTCTGTTAACACATTTTCTCTTAAGGTCATTTTTGATTTGTGTTTTTTCCTGCTTTTCGGTCACTTTTAATATTCTAATAAGATTTTCTGCTAATCTTAATTCTTAATTCTCTATAATGGCAGATTTTATTATTAGTACCATAAAATCTAAGCAGTGCTTTAAAAAATGTATGTAACTTGTGTTGGATTTTATTACCTTTAGAATATGATATTAACAGATGAAATCTTAGTTCATATTTAAAAAGCATGTGAGTTACAGTATTTGTGTTATAATGATGGCAGAGCCAATTTCTACCTCTTCATACAGGAATATCTATCACGTGGGGCAAATATTTACTGGTAATGACTAGCTTTAAAGGAAGATACTAATTTAGAAAACAATTTTGGGAGCGTACTAGTAACTGTAATAGTGATGGGTTAATTCTCTTTAAACTTTTTGTATCCCAGTCTAAGAGACTCAGCAGTCTTTATAGGAATCATTGGAAAATAATGACACTGATAATCACATGCTGTTAAAAATGTACTAAGGTTTCAAAACTGCTATTGAAACCAGACAATGAATTCAAGATGGTGAGCTATCACCTGAATCAAATCAAGGCACTATGGAGCCCCTCCCCCCCAAATAACCCTGAATCATTTCTGACTAAAAGAAGCATTGAAATTATGAAGGATAATAAAAAGATTCCAACAAATCCTAAAAGTTAAAATTCCCACCATTGAGAATGTTAAAAAGTGCCTAAAATGTTTTGTGTGCAAAATTTACTCCTATAGAACTGAAACATTCTTGAAATTACTTTCAGGCTTGTTGAAAACCTTGTACATATGTATTTCCCATTAAGAAATACACAGAAATATGTGATCAAACTCCCAAACATCTAAAATACAGCAGTGCAAATCCTGTTTTCAAACATAATTGAAAAATAATGAAATAAGGGCTATTTTTTTAACTTGAAAATCCTATTGTATCAATAATTTAACCTGAAAAAAAAAATCCATTCCCAGCAGCACTTCATACCTCACTAAACAAACTGTGACATCACAGCCAAAGTATGAACACAAAGACCTGTGCCCTGGAAAAGTGAATAGAACACTATTAATGCTGTAAACAAAAGGAAAAGTGGAGGCTTTATCAGGTGTAAAAATCTAATGAAATGTACTCATACCTATAAGGAAGAGATAATGCTTTCATGCAGCATACAGAATGTGTGCTTCTCTCCTTCATCCAGACATATACATATTTTTACAGCATCTATACATAAAGAATTTGAACCCACACAACATTCTCAAAGTAATTACTGTTCTATCATTATTTGAAGAGGGAGAGAAATGGGGGACCTACTTACTGAACTATCTTCATGGCATCATTGTAAGTGAACCCCTGACGTGGCAGTGGTGCAGTCCTCTGTAACACTTAATACCAGGAACAGGACCACTAAAAGTACAAACATTATTTGTGCCTTTCAGGTTCACTAGAGGTCAATCTCATAGCTGAGCTTCATACATTTGGCAATATACTCTTTTTTTTCCCATCAAAAAAAATATCTGGTGACCAAAACACTGTCAGAATTGGCTATGTCTCTAGGATTATCTCCTGCTGGCTGGTATTTAATGTACATTTGTAGCACTAGGCAGCGTTTTTCTTACCAACTAATTCCAGGAATGAGAACACTCAATAGTACATCTTATGGAACAGCTGGAAGTCTTCCTCCTATTCTCGGATTATCTGAGTAACTCTTTATGGACCATCTCCTTCGTCCCTTGATGCCAGAGAAGAAGGAAGTTTGTGTGCTACTGTGGTTGAACCTTGGAAGGATCAGTCAAGCTGTCAGTCCTATGCCGACTAAGTTGCTGCTGTTGCTGCTGCTGCTGCTGGTGGTGTGACTGAGGGAAGGAGCTCTGTTGTAGTGGAAATGCAGCAGAGAGGATAAGTTGCGTTGAAGGATTCCCATGGAGCAACCTAGAAGTCTGCAAACACAAATGCTTTGTTCCTTAATACTGTCCACTTAAGATTTATTCAAGCTGTCCACTGTCCATAGGGACAAAATCTTTATGCTATTTTCATTTTTGCTCTAACCTTAACATTCTATTTTTTAAACATGCTTATGAGACTTTCCCTCTTTCTTGGAAGTTTAACAAAATTCTTTCCCTCTTTTTTCTCACTATATATGTAAGAAAGACAGTTTCACCTTCTAGGAATTCGAGCACAAGAAGAGAAACTAGGCTTGAAGGAAGAGCCCTGAGGTGGGCAGAAAGCAGGCCACCTGCTCTATTCTAACAGTTCAGATACAACTGAGTATGACTGTGGTAGGACCAAGTCTTCCAAATACTGAACAAGTAAAAGAAATAGCTAACCAGGACAAATTTTCTAGGTCATTTGCCAAATTCTATTCTAAAAAAAAAAAAAAAAAATGGACTGGAGATGGCGTCTCCATAGGGAAATGTACCTGTAAAAACTGCTGTGGTGGTTGGGTCAGCTGAGCCTGAGATGGTTGCTGAACTGGGGGAAGCTGCTGCTCCTGGGAACTCTGTTGTTGTTGCTGCTGCTGCTGCTGCTGCTGCTGCTGTTGTGTTACTGACAATGCCTGGGCCTGCTGCTGTTGTGTGGCAAAAGTAGGATAGGCAGTCACTACCTGACCCATAAGCATGGTACTAGGTACCATGACTGCCCCACAAGCTACAGGAGCAGTCACTAATTTGGTCACAAGTTGCTGACCTTGAGAAAATCTGTGGGAAGAAAAAAAAGAGGAGTTAGAAGAACAGCTAAGGCAGTGATCATTTAAGATAATATGCAGTGATAGTACCAATTTCATTTTATAAAAGCACGTTTAGGGCTGGGAAGGTGGCTCAGTGGTAGAGTGCTTGCCTTGTATGCATGAGGCCCTGGGTTTGATTTCTCAGCACCACATAAGCAGAAAAAGCCAGAAGTGGTGCTGTGGCTCAAGTGGTAGAGTGCTAGCCCAGAGTTCAGGCCCCATGATGGACAAAATAAATAAATAAAAGCGTGTTTATATTTTGTTTTTAAAGATTCCTTTTGAGTTATCAATAAAGAATATATATAGAAAAATCAATATATGACCACAAACAAATATGACAAACCACTTTTTAAAATATATTCAAAAGAATGAAGAAGCCAGGCATTGGTGGCTCATGCTTATAATCCTAGTTACTCAGGAGGCTGAGATCTGAGGATCACTATTCAAAGCCAGCCTGGGCAGAAAAGCCTGTGAAATTCCTGTCTCCAGTAAACCACCAGAAAACCGGAAGTGGGGCTGTGGCTCAAGAGGTAGAGCAGTCCTTGAGCTGAAGAGCACAGGGACAGCGCCCAAGCCCAGAGTTCAAGCCCCATGACTGACAAAAAAAAAAAAAGAAGAATGAAGAACACCTCCATTTACAAAAATAAATTCAAAATAAAGCTAATCACAAAAGCTAAAAATTGCAAGAAATAAGCTAGGCGCCGGTGGCTTACGCCTCTAATCCTAGCTACTCACTCAGGAGGCTGAGATCTGAGGATCGAGGTTCAAAGCTAGCCCAGGCAGGAAAATCTATGAGACTCTTATCTCCAATAAACCACTCAGAAAATTGGAAGTGGTACTGTGGCTCAAGTGGTAGAGCGCTCTCGTTGAGCTGAAAAGCTGAGGGACAGCGCCCAGGCACGATCCCCCCCCCAAAAAAAATAAAATAAAAATAAAATGCCACCCAAAACCCTGTAAGAAACAATAAAGCTTCATGATACCAGACTTCAGAAATGATTTCACTGACACCATCAAAACTAAAGGTGATAAAAGGAAAAAAAAAAGGTAACTGGACTACATTAAATAAAACATGTATACTGAAAATGAAACTCATTAAACAAGAGTTATGTATGTGATATATTTGGTTATCATAATAACTAGATTTCTTAAAACTGAACAACTCACTTAAAAAAATAAGATCAGGGCTGGGAAGGTGGCTCAGTGGTAGAGCGCTTGCCTTGCATGTCTGAGGCCCTGGGTTTGATTCCTCAGCACCACATAAGCAAAAAGAAAAAAGCTGGAAGTGGCGCTGTGGCTCAAGTGGTAGAGCGCTAGCCTTGAGCTGAAGAGTTGAGGGACAGCACCCAGGCCCAGAGTTCAGTCCCCACAACCGGACCCCCCCCAAAAAAATAAGGTCAAACCTAAATATGTATTTCTCCAAAAAGATAAGAGAAATGGCAAATAAATGCACACAAAGGTACTCAGTATCACTAGTCATTAGGGAAATGTTAATCAAGCCACAATGAAAAGCCACTTTATATACCCATCAGGCTTTCTATCATAGACATCAACAGACAATCATCAGTGTTGACAGAGATGTGGAGAAGTGAGAACATTTGTGAACTGTTGATGGGAATGTAAAATACAGCCACCATGAAAAACTATATGGCAGTTCCTCAAAATCTTTAACAAGATTACCAACCACAGGAAATTATTCAACTTCTGAGTGTATAATCTGAAAGAAAGAAAAGCAGAGACAGATACTTGCACGCTTACATTCATAGCAGCACTTATTTTCAGGTGGAGACATGGAAGCATCCAGAGTTTCCACTGACAGGCAGAATGGGCAGGCAGCCAACAGTACACTTGATAATGGTCAATATATCTAATTTTATGTTCTATGTATCACAGAGAATTTTTGTCAATCATATGGCTTGAACTCAGGGCCTAGGCACTGTCCCTGAGATTTCTGCTCAAGGATAGCACCCTATTACCTTGAGCCACAGCACCACTTCCGTTTTTCTGGTGGTTAATTGGGAGGTAAGCATCTCATAGACTTTCCTGCCTGGGCTAGCTTTGAGCAAGGATCTTCAGATTTGCTAGGATTACAGGTGTGAGCTACTAGCACCCAGCATAACAGAGAATTTTAATCATGTCAAAACTATAAACTTTTTTCTTTTCATAAAATGACTAAGTGCTTGGGAGTCAGATATATGTGGCACACAATTCACAGAAAACCTTAAGGCTACCATAACATAATTTAAAAGAACTACATTTATAGAAAAAATCCATCAAATATGTATTACAAACATAAATAAAAAGTGATATTCTAATAGTGGATACAAATATTCTTTGCTGGGTACCAGTGGCTCATGTCTGTAATTCTAGCTACTTGTTTAGAAGGCTGAGATGAAGATTACAATTTGAAATCAGCCCAGGGAGGAAAGTCTGAGAGACTTATCTCTAATTAACCTCTAAAAAGATGGAAGTGGCACTGTGTGGCAAGTGGTAGAGCACCAGCATTAAGTGAAAAAGCTAAGGCGCAGTGGCCTGAGTCTAAGCCTCAGTGCTGGCAAAACAAAACAAAAAATTTTAATTTACAAGTTTATCAGTGCAACATAGTGTTTACTATTATTTGCTAATTTCCTCCCTTCCTTATCTCTTTCCAATTGCCTTTTGAATGGGGTGATGTTCATTTCTAATACTGGCCATCACAGCAAGGAAACAGATCTGACCCTATCATATAGCAAGATGAAGACTGTATTAAAATCTGTAAAACAACATAACAGTATTAATGTAAGGATGCAGTAGTGGTTCAAGTGGTTGTATACCTGCCTATACCAAGTGTGAAGTTCAGTACCACACCCCAGTACCACCAAATCACACACACAAAAAAAAACTCATAAAGCTCGTTTTCGACATGACAACTTGTACTTCTCATTGTTGCAACAGGTCCACCTGTATCCTTAAACGACTTGTTTTTCCCCACCTCCTCCACAAGTTAAACCCACATGCGGGGGGGGGGGGGGAGGCTGGGAAGGGATGTGAAGGGTAAACAAAGGAGGAGGCTGCAATGCTTGATAAGAAATGTACGCATTATCCTGCCCATGTAATTGTAACCCCTCTGTACAGTATGTTCACAAAAAAAATAAAATGAAAAAATAAAAGAAGAAAAGGAAAAAAAAAGAAATGTACTCATGGGGGGGAGAATAAGGTGGGGGAGCAGAGGGAGGATGGGAAGGGATGGGAAGGGAAAACAAAGGAGGAGGCTACAATGCTTGATAAGAAATGTACTCATTATCTTGCCCATGTAATTGTACCCCCTCTGTTCAGTATTTTCACAATAAAAAAAAAAAACAAAACTCTGAGCCGGTCACCAGTGGCTCACGCCTGTAATTCTAGCTACTCAGGAGGCTGAGATCTGTGGATCACGGTTCAAAGCCAGCCTGGACAGGAAAATCCATGAGACTCGTATCTCCAATAAACCACTAGAAAACCAGAAGTGGCATGTGGCTCAAGCCATAGAGTGCTCGCCTTGAGCTGAAGAGCTGATGGACAGCGCCTAAACCCAGAGTTCAAGCCCCATGACCACCAAAAAAAAAAAAAAGAAAAGAAACTCTGTACATGTATTGCATATTGTATATATTCCATAAGACAAAATAAACTTACACGGATTCATTTTTGCAGTGATGGGGATTATACCCACTCTGGGCTAGGCAATGGAGAATAGAGAATGGAAAATGCTAGGCAAGCATTCTACATTGAGTCATAGCTTTATACCCTTAATTTATTCTGAATTCATGTCACATCTTGAAAATAAAATACTGTATTTTATATACTTTAGGACCAAATGCTTGAGTACAAAACAAAAAAACTCTTAAGGCTCAAAAAAAGTAACATTTAGAGTGTACTTAGTTATATAAGTGCTAAATGCTATTTCCTTTGTAATCCTAAAATTAATATTTGAATTGCCTATTGACTCATTGATATGTGCTTTATCCAGAGAATACTTTATTCATTTCAGACAGAAAAACATATTCTCTAATCATCTCCATTGCCCAGCTCACACTTCTGTGGCTGTGCATGTACAGGTCTCTTTGGCTGAGAATGCCCCTTTAGAGGCCTCACCACATGCAAATCCAAAACCACCCTCACTATAAGACTCAGGCCAATGGTCACCTCCTAATCCAAGCTATCCCTGACCAACCATAATGTGCTCTTCACCTGTTTGCCTCAATCCACAAAATTACTCACTTCTGCTTTTCTATAAGCCTACAATAATTCTGACTTACCTTTCTATTGATTTTACAAGTCTTTTCCCAGGGGAAAGACCTAACTTATAAAAGCATCAATATATAAGCTTCAAACATTTGCTGTAGGATTTGTCCTCTCAGAATTGTATTTACAAATAGTCCCTAAATTGCATCTTCCAAAATGCATGCCAGTAATCCAGTTTAATGGCTTTCCCCTCAAACTATAAAGTAAGTCTTTTGCCTGGGAGTATAGATCAATGGGAGAGTATGTACATAGGTCATACTGGTCCATGTGTATGGACCCAGGTTCTGGGTTCAAATCCCAGCAGCAAAAACAAACAAAAAAATCAGCCCTCTGAATTTTAATGGATAACATTTGTTAGATTTCATTATGAACATTCATAAGACAGACTTTGTAAGTTAACTGAGTTACAAAGAAAAGCTTCTTGTGCTTTTAATTCCTATGTAATCCTGCAGCTTCTATACTCTGAAAATTATTAATACAGTAAAATATACCATTCAATACAAAAGTCAAATTGTATATACAAGAAGTACTAATAAAACAATGTAACTTGAGGTTCTGGATGGGGTTGGGTACAATGGGCAAGGGTAATGTTAGTTTGGTCAAGATGCATTATACTCATAAACTGACCTGTTGGATTGAAACCTCTTTGTACAACTACTTACATAAAAGACAAATAAAACTTAAAAGAAGTATATAGTGGGCGTAAAGTAAGGTAAAAATAAAAAACATTTAAAATTGGAGATTTCATAATATGGAGATCCTATAGTTGTTAGAAGGCAACTTTTCAGCATCGATGGCATTTCTTCAAAAGTTTTATACTTAAGTCAGCTATTTGGAATTCTCATTAGTGTACAGAATTCAGAGTAGCATGCGTGACTATGTAAACTTTGAAATCAGAGATCTAGGTCTTGAGTTAGAGTGGCTGCTTCACTGATTTAACCATTTAGACCCATGAGAAATTACCAAAATCCTGTGTTTTTCTTGTATGAGACATAGGGAAAGAACAAAGATACTTGTAAATATTTCAGAAAAAATAAGAATGAATCCATGTATTTTGAGGAAGTAGAGGTGTGACTGAAGTGATGGAATGACAGTCGAGTAGCAAAGCTAAGTGAGAGCTTAAGGCCTTGAGTTTAAGCCCCAGTACCACCCCTCCTCTCCCAAAAAAGAGGGAAAAAGAAAAAAATCATATATTTTGAAAACTCAACAAATTCAAGCAAGGTAAGCTATACCACCATGAATACTCTCAACCATCTGCACTAACAAGAGGGGGCTGCACAGTGAAACAGCCTTGCACATCATACTATGAACACTACAGAATGTTCCTATTTGCTTGCAGCCCAAAAATAAAAATTTATTTTATTACTCTAATTTTCATGTCTTGAAACAGGTATGTTTTTATTGCAAGCAATAATGGCTACTACAAACAACAAAATAATAAAATTATAAAATCAGTTTTTTTTAATCATATTTTGTTTCTTTTTTTTTTTTTGGTCGGTCGTGGGGCCTGAACTCTGGGCCTGGGCGCTGTCCCTCAGATCTTCAGCTCAAGGCTAACGCTCTACCACTTGAGTGTCAGCCCCATTTCCGGCTTTTTCTGCTTATGTGGTGCTGAGGAATTGAACCTGGGGCCTCATGCATGCAAGTCAAGCACTCTACCACTGAGCCATCTTCCCAGCCCCAATGTTTTGTTTCTTAATGCAGTGTCAGGAACTGTACTGAGGGTGGTGAGCATGTTAAGCAAGCATTCTAACACTGAACTATATCCCTAGCCTTATTGTTGTGTGTATGTGTATGTGCACACATGCACCCTCCTCCATACTAGGGCTTGAACTCAGGGCTTTGCACTTTTGCCTGGCTCTTTTGCTCAAGAATAGCATTCTACCAGCCACTCCTAAATTTTTCATATTACTGTTTTGTGTGTGTATATGCATGTGTGCATGTGTTTGTGTCTGTACATGTGTGCACGTCCTGGGGCTTTAACTCAAGAGTCTGGGCACTGTCTCTGAGCTTTTTTGCTCAAGACTAGTTCTCTATCACTTAAACCACAGCTCCACTTCTGACTTTTTGGAAGTTCATTGGAGATAACAGTCTCAAACTTTTCTGCCTGGGCTGCTTCCAACCACAATCCTCAAATCTCAGCTACCTGAGTAGTGAGATTACAGGACAAATTCTCAGCTGTCATATTACTATTTTAATTAACATAACTTTGAAAATGACAAAAGAAGTAAGACAAGTACCTTATCTGTCTGTCCTGAGTGAATGTAGTTACTGTGGCACTCTGGGTACTGTTCTGTGACATACTGGATGGAATCTGGACCATGCTTCCAGCGGCAGGCTGAGAAATCACCATAGTATTATATAGAGGAGCTGTAAGAGTACTCTGTGTCTGACTTGGAAGAGATGTTTGCTGACTGTGACCACTCAGTACGTTTTGTTGACTCTGCTATAAAAGAGATTTTACAGAGATTAACTGAACAAAGTTATTTGGAGACAATGCATCTGCCATTTACTATTTTAACAATAGCTGATATTAAAAGGGAAACAGGATAAATTACTCTGAGAAAGTCTAATCACAAAGGAACGACTTGTAGTAAATGGAAATGGTTAGGCTTGAATTCCCAGCCAGAAGGAAGGCAAGCTACGACTTTAAAAGAAACATGATCTTAATAGGGATGGTAGAAAATATACAGACAGAATTTCTGTTAAATACACAAAGTGATTGACTAATGATTAGTTTATTTTTGTATTTTCCATATAGAGTCACAAATATATCCTAATCACCAGGATTTTGATTGAACTGTCACTGTTCTACTCACAGTGTATTCTACCTATAGTAACATGATACCTGGCCAGACTCCTTTACAAATCAAAGCTTTTATTTTTGTTTGTATGTATGATGGTCCTGGGACTTGAACTCAGGGCTTGAGTGCTGTCACTGAGCTCTTGTGCTCAAGGCCTGTGCTCTATCACTTGAGCCATAGCAGTACAACCAGTTTATTTGATACTTAACTGGAGATAGGAATCTCAGTTTCCTGCCCAGGCTGGCTTTGAACCGCAATGCTCAGATCTCAGCCTCCTGAGTAGCTAGGATTACAGGCATGAACCATTGGCACTGGGCTGCAAATCAAAGCTTTTTAACACACACAAGTAATCTGAGTGACCAGAACCTGGTATCACTATTAGACTTAAACAGATTGTACAATTTTTTTTTGGGGGGGGGGTCTGGTCGTGGAGCCTGAACTCTGGGCCTGGGCGCTGTCCCTCAGCTCTTCAGCTCAAGGCTAGCGCTCTACCACTTGAACCACAGCACCACTTCCAGCTTTTTTCTTTTTGCTTATGTGGTGCTGAGGAATCGAACCCAAGGCCTTATGCATGCAAGGCATGCGCTCTACCACTGAGCCATCTTCCCAGCCTAGATTGTATAATTTTTAAATGTAAAATAGTTCACACTAATGGCAAAAAAATTTCAACTAATATTTTAATGATTACTCAATATTTCATGTTCTAATGATCAGACTTTAAGAGATGATACACAACAGAGCTATGTTAATAGCTCATTGTACTTGATCATATTACCTGAGTTGATGTACTTTGTAAAGTCTGTTGAATCATATGCTGACTTGTGCCAATGTGTCCAGCATTCATTCCACTTTGAATCTGGTTAGTAGGAACAACCTGGCTTTGCATATTTATAGGTGCAAGTTGCTGGACATTAGATGAATTTCCAGAAGAAAGTTGAACAGAACCAAAATTTAATCCAGGGTTTGATTGTTGCAAAAACATCTTTAAAAATAAAGATTACATTTAAATGAGATTTTTGGGTTCTTTTCATTCTTTTTTGTTTAACACTAGGGATGAACCCCTCAAGTATGCTAGGCAAGCACTCTACCCTAGGCTACATTTGTACCCCTAAATAGACATTAAAATGCAAGTAACAGGTATTAGTCGTTTTGAGCAATAAATAATTACTGAATAAAACATAAAACTTCCACTCATCCTAATCTTATCATGCTTTCAATTGTTAGAATATGTCTAACACACTCAAAGGGCTATGGACTGGCAGCTTTGTATCATCGGTATTTGTAATTTCAGACATTATATTATTTAGAAGTAGTTTCCACTTATTGTTTCCCTTTACCAAAATCCTAGTCTCCTAGTTGGTAAAGTAAGATGAACATGAACATTTTATTAACTTTTACTTATAAATTCTTTACTGTCTAGATTCAAGACTACTATAAAATAACTTTCAATATGATGAATTTGAACTACCTAAAATTTGGAAAACATGGAAAAATAAGGAGGCTACTGTCTTAGGAACAAGCATCTCTGGAGACTGAGTATACAGTATCATACTGAGTGGATAACCAATGGGTAGTGACTGAACAGTACTAGTAGAATGTATTTCTGGCACCTCACTTTTCACTAAGAAAAGTGCTTTTCATAGGAATGCAAAATATGTTCATAAGTAACAACTTACCTGCAGCCCTTGGCCATGGACCATTTGAAGTTGCTCTTGAATTTTCCTTAGTTCTTCTTGCTGCCGATGAATATTTGCCTCAATCATCCTGGTTCGTTGCTCCAACTGGTCCTTCAGATGTTGCATGGCTCCTAATTGAGCTGAAAACTGAAACTGAAGTACCACATGTGGAAAAAGCATACCATATTTTAGAATCAATTGCTCATCATAAATGTATAATGTGAAAAGTGAGCATAATGAGTTAAGAATATCATGCATCTTATTAATATATGGCATCTCTGCTCCTAATCTGCCCATCTTTCTCTGCTCTGTGACAGTGAAGCTGAACTTTAAAAATATTTTTTCCTTTGCCATGCATAGTCAGACCTGTCAGCAGATGGTACTGGAAACATGCTACAGAAGACACCTATCTTACTGATTCTGGTCCTTTCCTATGTTATAGCTGCCAGTGAGTGGCATTCCAGTGAGGTTCCTAAATACTTAGCAGGCAGCTTTTCAGCAAGTCTCAGTGATATCCTTTCCCAGGAAAGTCTGCCAGGTCCCTAGCAGGTAGCTTCCTTCCCTCCAGTCATCTTCTGTAGCACTTTAGTGATGTCCATTTTCCAATGGTGCTAGCCATTACCTGTGCACAATGACATATGAATCCAGGTGGCAAGAGATAGGAGATTCAGAAACATGAGAGAGAATCTTCCAAACTTGTCCCTTCTTTGAGTGCTCTTCTCATTTTTTTTTTTTTTTTTTTGCTGGTCCTGGGACATGAACTCAGGGCTTAGGCACTGTCCCTGAGCCTCTTTGAGTTCAAGGCTAGCACTCTTCCACTTGAGCCACAGCACCACTTTCAGCTTTTTCTGAGTGGTTTATTGGAGATAAAGAGTCTCACGGACTTTTCTGCCTGAGCTTTTGGAACCACAACACTCATATCTCAGCCTCCTGAGTAGCCAGGATTACAGGTATGGGCCACTAGTACCCAGCTCTTCTATTCTTATAGTGTTTAGTTTCTTTTAGATAGTGGTTAGCAACTTTTAATTTTATCCCTATACACATTTCTTGTACACTTTTGATTTCTGACTAGATCTTGACAGATTATAAGCACATCCTACAGTTAGAAAAGTTATACTGTGGCTGACCATTTAGTAAAACAAGTTACTTAATTTCTATTTATTGGTGGGTACTACTGAGGTTTGAACTCAGGGCCTGGCTCAGCTGAAGCTCTACTACTTGAGCTATGCCTCCATCTTAGCTTTCTGCTGGTTAATTGGAAGACTCTCCTGTACTTTTCTATCCAATCTGGTTTCAAGTTTTAATCCTCGAGATCTCAGCCTCCTGAGTAGTTAGAATTGCACGAGGTGGCCGGCTAAGTTACTTTATTTCCAACCCTCATTTCTACTCTACCCAGCCTGTGCCTGCAGTTAATTCTTATCAAACTGTCATCTTTAGTATACTCTCCAGAATATACTAAAGTATACTCTTCCAGAATTACCCAAAATTATCAAAATCTGACAAATAACTATTGTTGTCACTTATATTTTCAATTGATAATGTCCTTAGACACGTTTAAAACATGTTTTTAAAGACTAAGCAATTGTGAATGAATGGAATGCATATAATAATGCAGTTATTCAACTCTCAGAGTTTTTAACCTTACTTTTCTGTTTTATACCTGAGTATAAGCAACATTCTTTTCTACTGCTTATAATTTAGATACATTTGATGACCCCTCTGTTAAGTTTATACGGGTTCATTTAATTATTTTCATGAATATTCAGTACATATAACAGCCTAAGAGCTGGAAGAGTTCTATGTTATTGGAAATCTACCTTAAGACAGTCCAGTGAACTTCACCTTAAAGTGAGAAATGCTTCCACAACTTTTCAAAAGTATCTCCAAAAAAGTGTATATGCATAATAAAAAAGTTAATATGCATAATAGTTCTTTTTTGTTTGTTTGTACCACAGAAATAAAATACTATTTTTTCAAAAATCGTTTTCACTTTTGAAGTTGACAACAACCAGACCATATCATACGAGAAGAATTACAAACCTAGTACACCTCAATATTCCCATGTTTCTAGAATATTAGTCAAAATATATTTATATATGTCATGCAAATATAATTTATTACAAAGTTATTTGTAACTACAGATAAACATTCGTTGTCATCATTTTAAAGAATTTCTAAGCCGGATGCTGGTGGCTCATGCCTATAATCCTAGCAACTCAGGAGGACGAAATCTGGATGAAATCTGCCAGCCCAGTCCGAAAAGTTCATGAGACTCTAATCTCCAATTAACCACCAGAAACTGGAAGTGGCACTGTGGCTTAAAGTGGTACAGAAAAAACTCAACAACAGCACCAAGAGCCTGAGTTCAAGCTCCATGATAGAAAAAAAAAAAAAAAAAGAATTTCTACTAATGCAAAAAAGGAAAGCAGAGGGCTGGGAAGTTGGCTCAGTGGTAGAGCGCTTGCCTTGCATGCCTGAGGCCCTGGGTTCGATTCCTCAGCACCACATAAGCAAAAAGCAAAAAGCCGGAAGTGGCGCTGTGGCTCAAGGGGTGGAGCGCTAGCCTTGAGCTGAAAAGCTGAAGGACAGCGCCCAGGCCCAGAGTTCAGGCCCCACCACTGGATGCAAAAAAAAAGGAAAGCAGAAACAAACACAGAACATAGGACAAGAGAAAATAAAATCACAGAACAAAGAGGTGAAGTGTCTGGCTTTTTCACTATAAATGACATAATATATATTATTTAAAATGTTAAGAAATGCTTAATCAGTACCTGAAATTAAAGAGCAAGTTATGAGGAAAGTATTTCTAGATATTTACATAAACTTTTATAAACTCTTCAGAATAAATAAGATTTAAGGGCTTAATGCTGACTACAAATTATCCAAACTAGCTGGGTGCTGGTGGCTCATGTCTGTAATCCTAGCTATTCAGGAGGCTGAGATCTGTGGATCTCAGGTTCAAAGCCAACCCTGGCAGGAAAGTCCAGGAGACTCTTATCTCCAATTAACCACCAGAAAACTGGAAGTGGTGCTGTGGCTCAAGTGGCAGAATGCTCACCTTAAGTGAAAGAGCTGAGGGACAGCACCCAGGCCCAGTGTTTTGCTAGAAATCAGGATTTAATGTTAAACAAAACAGGCAAAAAAGTTTATTTTGTACTACTCAGTAGTATTTTTAATGTGTCTGAGACACTGAATGATTTATTCATCTCAAGAAGTTATGATCAAGAGAAACACAACAATGTTGTTAACAATCAATTGCTGTTAAGCAATGTTGTTAATTTTTGTATTTAGGCTTTCTCTGAGACTCATGCCAGGTAAACTTGTAGAAGCTTTTCCTCAACTTCCATAGGCTACATTAGGTTGCATGATGTACATAGGTTATATGACGTGGTATTCTAGTTATTTGTTGTTCCCTCTTAATGTAACAGCCTTTCAGTATAGAAATTATAAATACTATCAGTTCCTGAGATATCTGTTATATACAAGGAACTCAATAATATATGATTAATATATAGTTAATATGTAAACAAAGTTACTCCCTTCTTCCAATTACCACTGGAAGAACAAAATAAATAGTTACATCTTTAGTATCTTTATAACTATGTGCTTTTCAGTAAGAGAAGAGAATTTATGGCATATTAATAAGGAGGATAATGGATAATGTTCAAGATTATCATGACTACTGAAAGACCAGTACCTATAGACTCACCACTAAGGGCTAATGGTACCCCATAATCCTTATAACAAATGAAAATATACCTGCATTTATAAAATAAACTGCATCTATAAACATACACATTCATATTAGCTTAAAAGCAATTTATCACTTGTAAATGCTCATCTAAAACAAAAATACCTGGGACATGCCTTGTGGAATTGGTAAATTTGCAGGTTGAGACATCACTGGCTGTGTTATTGATGGACCAACAGACTGAGAGTTTATGGACTAGAAGTAAAATAAATCATAATAGTTAGATGATACTCATTCCTATATATAAATAGTTTAACCAGAAATATCATGGTATATTTACCACTGAATTTAATTTGATTTACATTTTGGTTAGTTGTATCCAAGTATGACTCCCTTTACACACTAGAAAAGTAAGCTATTTATCTATTTGTCTGTCTGTCTGTCTGTCTATTTATTTTGTGGTACTGACAATGAAACCCAGGAACTAGTGAATGCTAGGCAAACACTCTACCATGGGCTGTATCTCAGCTCCTCTACTACCCTGTTTCTTCTAAGCACTTCGCAGATACCCTACATATGTGTTCAATAGAAGTTGGCTGGACTGAACTGGTATTGAGTGGATTAACTGGCATCTGAAGATAAGATATATGATGGCTCTCAATGATCAGCTTTTCAGAACTGAAAAAGGCTGATATAATCTTAATGACTTACATGTATGAGAGCAAAATTCAGAAAGATCACAGAAAACAGAAAGGGGAAAATATATCAATAAATTTCTGAAAATTTAGGAAAATTTTCCCTTTTTAATAATTTTTATTCCAAATTAAAGAGCTTACCTGACTACTAAATGATGATCTTCGTTGGGCCATCTTTTCATGAGCTGGTAAATGCTGTCTGGGAGGAGTGCTAGTATCTGTTGGGATCTTTGTTGGTGTTGCTAAAGTTAGTTAACAAACCGTAACAGCATTAGTACTTACAAATACAATTATCAAATAGTAATCTTACAATATACTTCAGTGAATAAAAAATTTTTTGAGTTAGTTTCCAAAATTTTTTGTTAGTGTTCAAATCATTCAATAAAATGAAGCCTATGACTATAAGACTCATTTTAACATTTATTTTTTGCTCATTTGGAGGCTTGAATTTAGGTCCTTGTACTTGCTCAGGATTTTTGTTCCTGGCTGGTGGTGCTCTATCACTTGAGGCAAGCCCCCAGCATGGCCTTTGGCTGATTAATTGGAGATGAAATCTTGTAGACTTTGTTTGGCTAGCTTTTACACTTTGAACCTTCAGGTTGTAGCCTTCTGAGTCACTAATATTACTGATGTTAGCTGCTGATACCTGGTTAAATATTTTTCTTAAGGACAAACTTAAGGAAACTTTGAATATGAAAATAGTTACTATAGTCATTCCCCCAATATCCACAAAAGACTTTTTCTAGTACCATTATAGTCACCAAAAATCCATGGATGCTGAAGTCTCTTATATAAAATCGTGCAGTAGCCAGGCCTGTAATTCTAGCTACTCAGAGGCTGAGATCTGAGGATCACGGATCAAAGCCAGCCTGGGCAGGAAAGTCCCTGAGACTCTTATCTCCAATAAAACATTGAGAAAACTGGAAGTGGTGCTGTGGTAGAGCACTAGCCTTGAGCTGAAGAGCTGAGGGACAGAGCCCAGGCCCAGAGTTCAAGCCCCATGACCAACCAGAAAAAAAACCCAAATGGTGCACTGTTTGCATACATCCTATGCACATCTTGCCATTAATAAGCTATATCTAGACTTTTTATGCTACTTAATATAGTATAAACAGTACATAAATAGTTGCTTAACCATTATGTTTAGGAAATAGTGACAAGAAAACAGTTTGTATTTGGTCAGTATAGATATGACCTTTTTCCTTTGGAACATTTTCTATCAAACTATTGATAGAATTCATAGATATAAAACTACAGCGATGAAGGAACACTTGTAATTTAAAGATAATTATGCAAGTCTTTCTAAAGATAGTAAAAACAACTTTCAAAGAACAATACTTACTGGCTTTATAGTAAAAAAGTAGAGTAAATTGTCCTGCTTTTTTTTTGAGTGATGATGAAAATGTTAACAAATGACATTACTCCCTACATATTTTATCATAATTTTTTGCTATAGCAATTTGTCTTTTACTCATTGGAAAGATTAATATGTCCTTCAAATGTAAAAACCTGTAAAGAAGTATTTGATTTAAAAAATGCTGATATTTGTAACACAAGCAATTTAGATGCACCCTCATTAATGAAGTCTACTTTCAAGCTACAATACTCACAGGAAGGGTCTGATACTGCTGTATGAGATGATTTTCTTGAACTCCGGGAGGAGGCAGAAGGGGTTGGGCTGTGATCAAACCTTTCCAGTGCTTCCTTGAGACTAACTGTGTTTATGCGATTATCAGACCCAGAATCTTGGCTCTAAAAGGACAGAGAAAAATAATGGTTTTCTTTGTGGTTCAGTTCACAGATCTCAAATTAGCAAGACTGTTCTCAGTGAAATAAAAATTTAAATTTTACCTATAGCAAAGTGAGCATGAAGATATTAGATAAAGGAATGGAAGTTATTTTTATAGTGCAAAAAATAAAAATTTTGGGTTCATTTATGGAAAAGATGGGCTATCTTACATCATATACAGCGAAATAAAATGGATCAAAGACCTAACTATTAAGCACTAAAACAGTAAAAGTCTTAAAGAAGATATATAAATAGCCAGTAAGCACTTGAGAAGGAACCTAACCTCACTATCCAGAGAAATGCAAATTAAAACTACAATAAGATACTATATCATGTTTATTAGAATGAGAAAATAAACAGTATTGGTAAGTATAGAAATTAGACCTCTTGTTGCTTGATGATGGAAATGTCAAAATGGTGTAGCCCTGTGGAAGACAGTATGGCAGTTCCTCCCCAAATACAGAACTTGCATATAATCAGGATTCTTAGTATAAACTCAAAAGAAAGTAGGGACTCAGACAGACATTTCTATATCCGTATGTATAGAGGCATTACTCAAAAAAACAGAAAGGTAAATCTAAATATCCACTGACTGATGAATAAACAGGCAAAACAGTGCACATGCACACACACAGAAGAAATATTAAAACACTACAGGGACCTTAAAATACAAGGGAATCCTGATATATGCTACATTGGCATGGTAAAATCATACCAACAGAAATAAGCCAGTCATAAAAAGACACTGAATTTTTCTAATTAAAAAAATAAAAGGGGGTGGGGGGAGGGTGGGTAGGAGATGGGAAGGGATGGGAAGGGGAAGCAAAGGAGAAGGCAACAATGCTTGATAAGAAATGTACTCATTATCTTGCCCATGTAATTGTAACCCCTATGTACAGTATTTTCACAATAAATAAATAAATAGATAAATAAATAAAAGTAAAATGGTAGTTGCCAAGAGGTGAGGGGAAAGGGAAATGTGGAGTTGTTTAATGGAGTAGGAAGTTGTTTGGAAATATGAAAATGTTCTGGGCATAGATGGTGGTAATAGCTGTACAACAGGGAAAATGTACTTAGTGATTCTGAAGTATACCCTTAGAATTGGTAAAATAGTACTCTTCACATTAAAGAAAAAAGGAAGGCTGGGAATGTGGCTCAGTGGTAGAGTGCTCGCTTAGCATGCATCAAGTCCTGGGTTCAATTCTTCAGTACACATAAAAAGAAAAAGCTGGAAGTGGCACTGTAGCTCAAGTGGTAGAGTGCTAGCCTTGAGCAAAAAGAAGCTCAGGGACATGGCTCAGGCCCTAAGCTCAAGCCACAGGACTGGTCAAAAAAAAAAAAAGGGAAAACAAAATACAGATGGCACTTTAGTTTATATACAAAGTACCTTATGCATCTTTGGGGCTTAACATTTTATGGCTGAAATTCTATACTCCAATTCCGACCTTTCTCTAGAATTTCAGTAAGTGGATAAAACATCCAATATCCTATCCTAGTATGTCAGCCTCCTAAGAATTCATTATCAATTATGTTTTCCTTAACTTTACCTGAGTCATTCAACCTCTGCTTTGTCATCAACAAATACTGCAACACCTCTATGAGTATCAACTCAAAAGCCACTATAACCATACTTCTCTATTTTCTACCTCTTCGACCTCAAGGGTCCCTGCAGAAGTAACTACAGTCAACTTAAAAGTGATGACCAACTTCAAATGGACATTCAGTTCTAGGCAGCAATATTGTTAAGTGTTTGTGGAAGACTCACTTTTCTATTCTTCACAAGTAGTCAATGCCTTTGCACTGTTCTTAAACCTGTTTCCCTCTCTCAAGTGACTGCCTGGCCTTATGTAGAAGTTCCGGCCTGACTTATTTTCAAAAGATCTAACCTTATCTGCTAATATTGCATGTTTAATAGTATATCTACTTTTTCTTCTACAAGAAGAGTCATGTATTCCATTAAAGGCTCTCCGTGTGTAGCATTGAACAAGAAACAAATAACCTATTCTTACTTCAGAGATGCTACATAAAAAGGAACAATGTATACACACATACACACAAACAAGATGATTTCAGATATACTCAAGCAACAAGGGAAAAAAAGGACTGTTAATGTCATATTGAGTGGTCTTCTCCAGCCTAATTACCCTCTGTTCTTCATCTTTTCTAATTTGCCTTTACTTCCCACTGTTCTTATCTGCCTTCAGTATCCATAAATATAACAAACTACTCCATCTTCTCCACCTCAGCTTTGAATATTCCTTTACCGGCCTGCTCTAACAAAAGTGCAGATTTCACTGGAGGATTTTACTTTCCTTGTAGGTCTTTTCAGTGATCACGGTTTCCTCTCAAACCACGAAGTTTCAACCACAGTTCTATAGATAGAAGAGCAGTCCTACTAGTGATTCCCTGTGTTCCTTCCCTAAACTCAGTCCTGAAACTCAAATGACCACACTATGGAGCACTACCCTTGTTGCAGTCACATACTGAACTTGTAGTCACTTCAGAGAAAGTACCTGAACTAAATTTTAGCTCCTGGCTCAGTATTTTCCATATTAACTCTTTATCCCAAAATTATCTAGCACATATTCAATACTATGAACTCTCTCTTCTTTGGTGTTTTTTCCCCCTTCAAGATTTGACTCTACTAGCCCTCAGTCACTAATTCATAACTGTACCTAAGAGTTGCTACTAACAAGGAAAAAACCCTCCGTACTATTGATGTCAAACATCCTATTTTCTGAACTTCCACTTCCCACATGTCCTTCATGCTAGTTAAACCAATTTTTTTTTACCTGTACTGCACAGCTAAGTAGGGCTGAAGAAATACAACATGGTGACTGTTCCTCCTTCAAATTAATGATCAAGAACACTCAAGTGGGCACTTAATTCTGTCTGATTGCTCAGAACATTTACTTTTCAATCAATAAATTTATTTTTATTACCAATGTAATATGACAGGAACAGAAGATTACAATAGTTTCTTTCTATTTATTTTGATTTTGTATAGTGTACACAGGATGACACATGTATAACCTTAGTTATAGTCTTGCTGTTTTATAAATATTCTCTTATACAACCATTTAATACTTTTGTCTGTTTTCTCAATCCTCTAAAAGCTTCTCTCCCAATAATGGCTGCTATTTCACTGAGAATACTGCTGGCAAGCTCCCTCTCCCATATCTGCCTAACTGCCAGCTGAGTATAACCAGCACTAAGTTAATGCCAAGAAGTGTGACAGGGTGACAGGTTCTCAGGAGTTGAAAATATATGCCTTCTGGGCTGGTGGCTCAGTGGTAGATTACTTGCCTCACATCCATGAGGCCCTGGGTTTGATTCCTCAGTACCACATAAATAGAAAAAGCCAGAAGTGGCACTGTGGCTCAAGTGGTAGAGTGCTAGCCTTGAACTGAAGAGCTCAGGGACAGTGGCTAGGCCTAGAGTTCAAGCCCCATGACCAACAAAAAAAAAAAGAAAAAAAAAGAAATTATATGCCTTGTTACAATCATTTACCATAAATGTAAACTGAATAAAGAGGAGAAAAGATACAAAGTAATACTGACTGTGAAAATATAATACAAGCATACAGAATAAATCACATTTCATAAATCATATAAAGTATCTAACCAGGGACTAATACTTCTTGGTCAATTAATGACAGTTTTAATATGAGATCCACTATGTCTCTCGCCTAATTACTGCTAAATGGCAGGAACTTCAATTCTTTTAGAAGCAAATGAGATTTTAAAATATTAAAAATGAAAGTAAATAGCAAAGTTTAATCATCTCCCATCACAACTGAGGAAGTGAACTATTTGAAATATAACTTTCCCATGAGTTTGTTCTTCATTAGGAAGAAAGTTAAGAATTGAATACATTTTTAAAGATTACAAGAAACATACTTTGTCAGCAGCTGTCTCAGGAAGAGACTCTTCAATGCCAAGCTCTCGTCGTCTTTCAGCCCTAACTTCTGCATAACTACAAATGGAAAGAATTAGACTTTAGTGACTGGCCAGGCCCTGAATTCAAGCTCCACAACTGACAAAAAATGAAATTAAAATAAAAATACTGCAGAAATGCAACCATTCAGTGTTTGTTTTGGGTCTCACTTGTTCATCACTAATTCTGGACTTATTTTCTATGTGCTACACAAAGCTATTATATATGTATATATATATATGATGCACATATATATATAAACACATACACATATATAGTGTGTACTGGTTTAATTCATTTTGCATTGTCATTTGCATTTTTGTATAAATGTTTAAAACTATAAAGTACATAAAAAAGGAGTACTATGTTTATCTACTCCAGTTCCCTTTGCAAGGCTGACTTTGTTATATAAATGACAATATAATTTGTTATAAAACATAAAACTAAAACTCATGTAGAGCATTATATACCACTTACTATCTATATGTCTCTATACAATGCCTGTAAGTAAATTTAAGGAATTATTTAATGAATATATACAAAATTGGAAAGAGATCACTTTGTCAATTAACAAGTCATGCATAAAAATTACATTATTAGTTGTTACTGAGATTCAGAAATTTTCTACAAGAATTATTACCTTACTACGGTGTGAGTACAAACAATAAATTCTGGTCTTGAATTCCACTGGTGGTAAGTGATATAATAATGAGTTTGAAGCCAAATCCACTGTTGCCCTTTGGTCAGAAACCTATAATAACAGGACTTGCCTTTCCCATATTGCATTACTAAGTAGAAAAGAAAGAAATTTTAATATGAATGTGTATTTTTAACCAAAAGCGATCATTTATATTCAAGTCATATACAGTTTATAGTTATTTTTCTAGCTTTCTAAAAAAACATATACACTATCAATTGCAAAAAAAATACTGTCTTTAAACAATCTGCTTTGGTTTTGAGACAAGACAACTATATAGCCCAGGTTTGAATCGCACTCACTAGGTAGCCTGGTTGGGGCCTTGATTTTTACTACTTCCTCAAGCCTCCTGAGAGCTGAGATTTACAGACATGAAACATCACACCTGACAAGAAAATGCTATTCTTTAAGATAAGATCTCAAGCAATTAGGATGTCTTTCTAGTCCAACTTTCTTCTAGTTTAACTTTCCAGTCCATTATTGCTGATTTACACACTTTCTTTTTTTTTTTTTTAACTGCATTTTTTTGGACTTTTCTTTTTTGGTACTGGGGATAGAACCCAGGACACTGCACTTGCTAGGCAAGCGCTTTGCCACTGAGCTACATCCCAGCCCTGATTTACACACTTTCTATATACCATTATGTTCCACATACTCAAAGATTCAAACTGTTGACATCCTCTTGCCTAGATACAGTGAGGGCAGTAACAATAAATTTATATTAAGCCTGAGTATTTCTGCCACAGATATTGTCAGGTATAGTATCATTGAAGAATTTCACCTTAAACTCAAATCCAAAATCAAAATTTTACTCCTTGAAGTAACTGTTAAGTGCAGTATTTCCCAAAGCATATTCTGTACATTTTAAAATCTGACAACTTTTATCAAATTATTAAGCAAAAGTATGAGTCTTGTGGTACTTTGGGAAACTTTTTATATTTTTGAAATGCACTAAAAGATGTTGCTTTACATGTATGGTTAACCAATCTACTAGGACTCAGAGATACAGTTTAAGTTAAACTTATTTCTACTTCACACATTCTAAAAATAATTATAAATCCATTTTTAAAAACCACCTTTCATTAAACAACATTTCTATTGATAGAATTTCAAATAGTTATCATCACTAGAAATACTAAAATCTACTTACAGTGCTCGTGACATTTGGCCAGATTTTCTAGGTCATCCACATGATAGTAATCGTAGCCTGATGTCCCCAAAACTTCAAATGGCAAATATCCTATTATTGGTGGTGCCCTAATAAAACAATATTATTATTTTTCCATCAAAAAGCTCCAACTAGACATCACATGGGGGAAAGGAGGGCTTTATTTTAAGATGGGTTAAAAATCCTTTTTAAAAAAGTTTGTCTTTAAGATCAATGTCAAAAATTATATGGCTAAGCCAGGTGCCAGTGGCTCATGCCTGTAATCCTAGCTACTCAGGAGGCTGAGATCTGAGGATCACGGTTCAAAGCCAGCCCGGGCAGGTAAGTTCGTGAGACTCTTATCTCCAATAAACCGCTAGAAAACCGGAAGTGATGCTGTGGCTCAAGCGGTAGAGGGCTTGCCTTGAGCTGAAGAGCATAAGGACAGCGCCCAAGCCCAGAGTTCAAGCCCCTCGACAAAAAAAAAAAAATATATATATATATATATATGTTTAATATGGCTATTTTTAAATGAAATTAATAATGAAGTTACCTGTGATCTAGAAAAAGAAATTTCCATTCTAAACTATGTCTAGATGTAAACTCTTCATTGGGTTCTTCAACAGTACACATTTCCTACAAGTAAATTAACAAAATTTAGAAGTATTCTCATGTCATTAGAAAAATCCTAAATATTATTAAGACATAAAGTTATTATTAATTAACTTTTACCTAAATGAGTTTTAGACACTTCAATTTTCTAGTAGTAAAAATATAGCAAGTTAGGAATACAACTCAGTAGTAAAGGGCTAGCCTAGCATATAAAAGTCCTGTGGCATTTGATCTCACATCCTGTGAAAAACTGAAAATAAGACTTTAAAATGTAGCAACAAATAATAATCAAGATGCAAATTTCAGGAAGAGTACTTCTCATTATACGCATTTCCCATTACTCATATGTAATCTTCAATCAGACTCTGAAATTGGACCTTTTCCTGTTTCTGCCTGTTTCCAAACATCTCAAATTTAATATATCAAAAATTAAACCAATTACCTCAAAGCTAATTACGTCATTTCCTATCTCATCAATGGCCACATTCTTGCATAGTGGCAGAGTTCAAAATCTAATAGTCATAACATACTCTTCAATTTTACCCTTCATCATCACATGGATAATACAAAATCCTTTCAATTTTACCTTCTAGGTATTTTTCCCCTCAGTCCTGGGGCTTGAACTCAGAGCCTGGTCTATTCCTGAATCTCTCTGTTCACAAGGCTAGCTACTCTACCACTTAAGCCACAGTGCCACTCCCAGTCTTTTCTGAGTAGTCTTTTTGGAGATAATAGTCTTACAGACTTTCCTGCCTGGGCTGGTTCTGAACTGTAACCCTCAGATCTCAGCCTCCTGAGTAATTAGGATCACAGGTGTGGAGCAACCAATGCCAGCTCAGCTCCTAGATATTAAATCTACTCTAGCATTCATCTTCAATGGCTTAAACAGACCCTATCATTGATGCACCTCATTGGACAGCATCTTACCTACCAGTCTCTGTTCTTCAGTTTGTTTTCTACTGAGGGCTCTTAATTATATTACTAAGGCTCAAATTCAATTATGTAATGTCCCTTTCCTCATTCTGAAATTGCTTCAATAGGGGGAATAAAAAACAAGTTTCATTTCTAGCTACCTCACTTTCCCCCTCCTTTTCTCCATACATGAACCCTAGACTCTGATCACATTAAATGATATATTACATTCAATTTAACACACCATTTTGTCTGTCCTAAGATGACCTTCTGCCATACAATGTAATAATTACGAACTGGAGCTTTGAAAGAAAAAGAATTAGAATCAAGTCCCAGTTCTTATTAGTTAAGAGATCAGATTTTTGACAAATAACTTCCCTGAGTCAGTTTTCTTATGTACAGAATCATGAAGTATATAGAAAGCAATAAGCACTCAAATGTTAGTCACTGCGATTATTTCCTAATTCAAAATAAGTAGAGTAAGACTGGAAAACTCATAACAGCCAACAACAGTATTTCTGTCTTATTCCATAGTATCTCACAATTTTTTAATTTTAATTTTTAAGTGCCAGTTCTGGGGCTTGAATTCAGGGCCTGGGCACTTATCACTGAGTTTTTGTGCTCCAAGCTAGAACTCTATCACTTGAGCCATCACGCTACTTCCAGCTTTTTTCATGTTTAATTGGAGATAGGAGTCTTACAGACTTTTCTGCCCAGGCTGGCTTTGAACTGCAATCCTCAGATCTCAGCCTCCTGAGTAGCTAGGATTACAGGTGTTAGTCACCAGCACCCAGCTGGTATCTTACAAATTTTAAATCTTAGCCTGGCTTCTTGTCAGTTCTATTGGTTTAACTATTTGACTTTTCTATTTTCCTACTAACCATGTATTTGTTGAGACCAGGAAATGGATGATTTCAAACTTAAAAGATAAATACAGCAAGAGCCATTTGTTCATTTCAAAAACAATCTTTTGAAAACAACCTAATTTTCAGTTATTGGTGGTGGGGCTTGAGCTCAGGGCCTTGGTGTTGTCCCCAAATTCTTTCTCTGAAAACTAGCACTTTAAGCCACAGCTCCACTTGCAGTTTTGTGGGGTTAATTGGAGATAAGAGTCTCAGGGGTTTTGCTGCTCCAGCTGGCTGTGAACCATGATCCTCAGATTTCATCCCCTTGAGTAATTAGGATTATAGGTGTGAGACACTAGTGCCCGGCTGACCTTTACTTTTAATGTAGATACTGAACTATTCATGCAAATGATTCTTACGAGTTTGCATAAAAATAGAGCATTAGTAATATTAATCATTTTCACTGGTTAACTGCAAAAACTAAAAGCTCAAGTTATACAAGTTAGTACTTTTCTAAGTGTTGCAAAAAATATTGTGGTCATGAATATATAATGACTTGGAGCCAGTGCTTCTGCAATGTTTGCAGGAACTTCCAGTCATTTTGGAGATAATAAAACAGTACACAAAGACAATTCTCACACTCTGTATTGAAGTCCTCCCTGAGCAATTAAACATACCTTGATGAACTGAGGTGTAGCTAACCTGACAGTAGCTACAAAACAAACTCTCTCTTCATAAGAAGGCCTATGTGTGCGTTGTATAGTTCCTTCAAAACCATTGTGTGCTGAAGTGGATACTAAAACAATAAGGAAATAAGTATCAGTTAATCCAGTAAAATCTACTTGTCATCAATATTTAAATATATATGTCTAAAAGCTTAGAAAAATACCATGTTAAAATACATCGTAAAAGAAGCATTTTAACTCACCACTGTTTAAAGATTTGAAATTTCCTATGAATCTCACATATTCATAAGTAGATGGTTCCTTTGGGTCTATTGTTCCTCGAAGCATATGACAACAGAATTCTAACTGATTTTTTGCTGAAATAAGTGATAAAAAGTTGGATAAGTTCACAATTATTTTTTCCAGTAGACATCCTACATGACATTTATTTAGTCCATAAAAGCAGAATACCTATAGATGACCCCACCTAGTATAAGTATTTTCCACTGTTGCTCCTTTTCTCTGTAGTCCCTTTTCTCAATTTTCACTCTAATTCCAAATACACATTTTGCTTTTTATTCTCAAGCTAATGTTTCCATGTCTACCTTGAACAATCTTTCCTATTATCTGTCAAAGCATGACCCAAATCTTCCTTCTAAGTATCAGATTTGAGTGGTCTATTGATCAATGTTATACAAACTTGATTTTCCTGGCCTCTATTTTCAGCTCACTCTGAAAAGCTATATATCCATTTTTATCAAAGACATACATACAAACTTATATATTTATATGTACATGTATAAGCACATTTCTCAATTCTTAGTATATATAGAATTTGGAAATATAAAGAACTTCTAAGGTGAACTGATCTGTACCATGAATCTAAAGGAATGTCTAAACACACTATAATATTTTGTTTCTTGTTGGCTAGGACTATATTTTATTCTTCTTAGCACTTTTTATGATGTACCACATTAGATACATCCAGCAAAGATTATATTATAAAGTTAACTATTTTTCTTTTAAAAATCATTTTAAGCTGGGTGTCAGTGGCTCACATCTATAATCTTACTCAGCCTGAGCTCTGAGAAATCATGGTTCAAAGCCAGCATGGGCAGGAAAACCCGTGAGACTCTTATCTCCAATTAGTTAGCAAAAAAGCTGGAAGTGGAGCTATGACTCAAGGGTGCGAATCTTGAGCTAAAGAGCTCAGGGACAGAGCCTAGGTCCTGAGTTCAAGCCTTAGGATTGGCATCAAAATAATAACGAAAATAATAATTTAAAAAGAACAGAGTTCATTTCCACAGTTGGGTTAACAATAAGGAAAATGAGAACACCAAATTTTCTCTCATAAAATAGAGTTGAGATTTTATTTAAAAATTTAAAATACATCACTGGGCTCTTTTTATGAAACTAGTTAATAGTATGCATAAAAATACTGTATCTTAAAATATCTATGTTTTCCATAAACTTGAAAAAGGATAATGGTACAAAATATGACACTTGAATTTTTGGTTACTTACATTTTAAGTACTCAGGAGTCAATGAGTCACTCTCCAGCAGGTGGGTAGAGAGCATTTTATAAACCTCTGAATGCTCCCCCTCGGGGATAAAGTTAAATAGACTCTGATCCACAAGGTCAGACTGAAAGGAAATTTGTAGTTCATTATTCAAGAGGCATTTATTTTCAAAGTACATAATCATTACTAAAAGACATGTGATTAACTTTCAGTTATTTTTGAAAACCAATAAATGGGACGTTACAAACTACATCTTAACAAAACAAGATTGATGGCTGGGGTTGTGTGTACACTAAGTCAACACAAGACCCCGAGTTCCCTCCAAAAGACTGATACACAGTTACACTAAATTTGAATACTATAAAATATAAAAGGGCTTAGAGTTAAAATATTTTTTTTTCTACAGAGACACAGCCCTATCATTGTTACATAACTGTCCTATAAATGACTCAAAGAATCACGGACATGCTTAATAAGGTGATTTGACTTGGCTATCATTTCAATGGTCCACTGCGTCCTTTTGTTTTTATCCAATTTTCCCAGGCATTTAAACTATATCTCACTGTCAAAAAGCCTTCTCTCAAAAGGTTAAACATGAAAATGGCAATTCCTATCCTTAAGTAACAATGACAGTAAGATTCCAGCAAATTCACAACTCTATGCAGTCCAGTCTACTCTACTGGACTTTTCTTACATCTCCAAATTGCTCTGTGGAATCCTAAAATCTCAAAAGCAGTGGAGGCAAGGGTGAGAGAAAGACAAAGGAAGTGAAAAGAAGCTGTGAAGGTCAAACTGCATTCAACTAAACCAGTTCCATCTTCATTTTGTAAAGACTGGTGGCTCACCCCTGCAATCCTAGCTACTCAGCAGGCTGAGATCTGAGGATTGAGGTTCAGAGCTAGCCCAGGCAGGAAAGACCCTGAGACTCTGACCTCCAATTAACCACCAAAAAAGTCAGAACTGTAGCTGTGGCTCAAGTGGAAGAGCATGTTACCCTTGAGGATAAAAGCTCAGGGACAGTGTCCAGACTGAGTTCAAGCCCCAGGACTGGTACCAAAAAAACCCCGAACCAAACCAAAGCAAAAAACAAAAAAAATCCATCACCACCACCACCACCACCACCCAACTCCCCCCCCCACACAAACACACACACACACACACACACACACACACACACACACACAAGAAAAACAGACAGCACTGGTGGTTCACATCTATAATGCTAACTACTCAGGAGGCTGAGTGAGATCTTAAATCACAGTTCTAAGCCAGCCTGGGCAAGAAAGTCTGTGAGACTCTTATTTCCAATTAACCACAAGAAAACTGAAGTGACACATCGGCTTAAAGTGGTCAAGACCACTAGCTTTGGAGTGCAAAACCTTAGGGAGCGTCCAGGCTCTGAGTACAAGTCCCATGACCAATCAAAAAAAATTGCTTGAAGAGTTCCACTGGTTAGAAACAAAAATAACAGGAATAAAACAGACACAGGAGATGATAGGAAGTGAGAAAGGATGCCGTACTATTCACTGAACAAATATAAGCCGTACATACAATCACAGTCTTCTGTCTGTCTTTTGTCTAGCCCTCAAAGTGCACCTTAGAAAGTGGAATGACTTTCTACCATCTTCACATAACTTTATCTCTCATCTTTCAAAGACCAGTTCAAATTATTTTCTTTATAACACCAAAACTGAATTATTTCCTCCAAACTATTTGCTTTATAACACCAAAATTCAATTATTTTCTTCAAATTATTTCCTTCATAACACCAAAATTCATGATAAAAATAAAATTCCTTCAGTACTTATTACTCATATCACTCATGCCACATTAAAAGGCACTTATTATTTTAACATCTATGTCCTCTTGTCCCTTCCAACTAAAGCACATCTGACCAGCCCTTCACATATAATAATTAGTATAGCAAATAATTTTAGACCCACAAGTTGACACTGGTTCGAAGGGTTGCCACACCAATATCTATATACATACATTTATAGACATATACACACGCACACAAACACATACATAAATTTAGCAATTCTTGTAGAAGACTGAAGAGACACCAAAACTCAAAGGGTGAACTGAAATGATGAAATAAAATTTCAAGCATGAATAGAAATGATTGAAAACTGTCTTTCACTGACAATGAAGTACCAAAATACAGGAATTGATGGAAATGCAAAGAGTAGTCTGGATAAAAACCAATAATAACTAAAATTTTCATTTCAAGAATGATTATAGTTTCTTATGTTATTTATTCTTTTCTTTTTTTTTGTCAGTTGTGGGGCTTGAACTCTGGGCTGGGGCACTTTCCTTGCACTCTTCAGCTCAAGGCTAGTGCTCTATTGCTTGAGCCACAGAGCCACTGCCGGTTTTCTAGTGGTTTGCTGGAGATAAGAGTCTCACCGACTTTGCTGCCTGGGCTGGCTTTGAACAGCGATGTTAAGATCTCAGCCTCCTGAATAGCTAGGATTACAGGCATGAGCCACCGGTGCCCAGCTGTTATTTATTCTTATTAGGAATTTCTTTTACTATTTCACTGAGAGTCATGATTCAGCCTATATCACTCTTGCTTTTCTATTTACAAATTTATTGGATTTCCTATTCATAGAAAAGGACCTGAATGGCTACTGTCTAAGTTCTTCTCCAAATTCTAGTTCTTTGCCTTTCATGATGAGCATCAACTTTTCCACTGACCACTATATCTATTGTGAGGTTAATGACATGATGTTATAACACTTAGTACCCAAACACAATTCAAGATTCTAACAGAAGGAAATAGTAGCTATCTCGGTTTTTCTCCCATCATTTTCATGAAAAAGAAATGAAAGCTAGAAAGAGGAGAATGATAAAAGTGTGACATTGATTAAGTTGCACTATACTTAAAAACTTACATGTTGAATTGAAACCCCTTTACAACTGCTTACAAATAAGATTATAATAATAAAAATGAAAGCAAAATATATTTTGCATATTACTTTTCTTGGGGTAGTACTGGGTTCCATTTCATGGTTGTGTGCTTACTAGGCAGGTGCTCTACCACTGAGCCACACTCCAGCCTTTTCTTGCACTAATTATTTTTAAGATAGAGTCTTGCTTCCTGCCTGGGCATGTGCCTATAGTATGTCTATTTTTAGACATCCTGCAATAGCTGGGATGATCCATCTTCTTGATGTTGAGATGGAGTCTTGTGGACTTTTCTGGAGCTGGGCTGGCCTGGAATGGAGATCCTCCTGAACTCAGCCTTGCCATTCAGTTGTGCAGATAGGTATGTGGCATTGCACTCAGCTATTGGTTGAAAAGGGTCTCATGTGTATGCCTAGGCTAGCCTCAAACTATGATCCTTTCTATCTCAGCCTCCTATATAGCTAGGATTATAGGTGTGAGCCACTTGCACCTCGCTTTGGAAATAATGTATCTTTAAACAACTGTAAAATTCTTCATTTACAGGCAGTAGGGACAAAAATTCTGACTTACCCATCCAAACTGGCCTTCATTATCATATGACAACTCAAAATTTTAAGTCATATTTTTGCATACCATTTTTTCACTATTTGAACCCACTGAAAAAGAAAGCTCCTAGAAAAGCAGTTATTTTCTCTGTGACCCCCCCCCCAAAAAATGGTAAATAACTTACTGCTCATCTTTCAGCAAGAAATTGCCCTTTTAGAGTTTGTCCTTTTAAGTATAGTGTTGCTTTTTCTTATAAGATACAAAGTGCTAGAGTAACTACTTTTTAGGTTTTTTGTTTTGTTTTTGTCAGTACTGCTTTTTAGGTTTTTTGTTTTGCCTTGTTTTTGTAAATATTGGGGCTTAAACTTGGTCCCTTGAGCCCTCATTCAGTTTTTGATTCACATGAGCTCATTCACTTGAGCCATGCCTCAATTTACAGCTTTTTCTGGTTAATTAGAAATAATTCCCTTAGGTTCAAAGCCAGGAACTGGCTTTGAAGCTCAATCCTAAGACCTCAACCTACTAAATAGCTAGAATTATAGGTGTCAGCCACCAGTGCAGGCTTTTTTTTTCAATATTGTAAAAAATATTCACAAAGCAGTTTATCTTGTATTGGCTTAAGTTTTCAAAGAAAACAAGCATTTTTAAGAAAAAATTAAACATTATTTATACCAAAGTATCATCTTAGATAATGTATTAAGTAAAATTATACATGAATTTAAAAAATTATCAAGCTGGGCAGTGGTGGCTCACATCTGAAATCCTAGCTACTCAGGAGGCTGAGATCGGAGGCTGAGATCTGAGGCTGAGGATCACAGTTCGAAACCAGCCAGGCAGGAAAGTCTGTAAGACTCTTATCTCCAGAAATGGGCACCACATAAGCCTTGAGCAAAAGAGCTCAGGGATAATGCCTACACCCTGAGCTCAAGCCCCACAAAAAAAAAAAAAAAGCTGGAAGTGGAACTATGACCCAAGTGGTAGAGTGCTAATCTTGAGCAGAAAATCTCAGGGACATCATACAGGCCCTGAGTTCAAAGTTCAGTACTGGCACATAAAATAAAAATAAAAATGATAAATTGCAGCAGAGCAAATAGCATAGTGTTCGGTACAAAGTGGATGTTCTATATACATAGTAGAAAAGCAAACATACAATTCATCTTCTCAAAAATTATACAATATACATATAATTCTTTATATGTCAGTGTTCCTACACAACAAATTAAATATAGCCAATATTTTATCATCAATTCAAGTAATGCTGAAGAAAAGTTGCAAATCTACTAATTTTTAGTATTTTTAGAAATTATTCTTTTGAGAAAATTATTTTTGAGTTTCCTTAGCAATAAGTACCTCAGGAAAAATTGCTTATTTGGGGGATACTTTCAGTGTTTAAAACCTTCCTCCAGCTGATAGAAAACATTGAAAAGTTACCATTAGAATAGAGAAAGGAAGAACTACTAAAGTTAAAATGGTGAGTAAACATGTTCTAGAGTTTTGACTAATCTAAGAAAACACAGCAATGATAAAACAAAGATCTGCATGGAGCTTCAACCCCTCAATCATTATTCAGCATTGCTCTCAAGGTCCATTTCCTAGTGTTTTAAGGAATATTTAGAGTAGGCATTAAATAATAAGAATATTGTTAGATTTTTATACTTACTGGCAGTTGTTCAAGTAATGAAGTTACACTCTCAGATACATATATTATACTTCCATCTGTCATGATTGCTAAAAAAAAACCATCAAGAGCCTGAAATTAAACATAATGGTCAGTTAAGTGAAAAAGTGTTTGACAGGACAGAAATAAGAAACATGTCAAGGAACTGATATGGAAATACCCAGAGTACTGTCAAAATACCATGCTTTCTTCTTTATAGTATTTTGGTATATGTTTTTATGTATCTTTAAATGCTCTTGAGGGGGGAAAATCACTCCTTGGCAGTCTACTTGACAGCTTGTTTCTAAAGATAATTAATGTTCTGCTTTTACTTATAGTCCTATATGGCTTTTTGAATATGCTCTCATATCCACTATATACGTACAACCAGTAATATGCCTTAGACATAGAAGAGAACATTATCATCACTTTGGAAATTTTAACAGAAAAGTATAGCTCTGATGTGTAGGGAGATACACGAGAAATAGAGTAAACAGAGTAGTAAGAAATTAAGCCTGTAAGTGAGGCCAAATTATGAAAGTCTTAAATTCCAAGTTGGGATATAAAGACTTTATATACATTACTGGGAAAGCAACGGAAGATTTTAGAATAAGTGGGTATGTATGCTTCAATATGAGTAGTCTAGAAAGGCCATCAGAACTACTAAACTGGACTTAAAACAGAAAATTGAGTCAGAAAAATATGATGAGAATTTGAAAGGATTAGCCAAGCACTGAGCAATGTTAATTTCTTCAGCAGTAATTTAGAGCAGGAGACAGACTTAATAATAAAACAATCCTATACTTTATATTTTCAAAGCGTTTTTGAGAATCCTAGGCACAGAAATGGCAGCTGAAGAAATAAGACCTTCAGAAGAAAGAAGCATGCCAAAGATGAATCATTGGAAGAATTACCTACATATGGGGATGAGTAGAAGAAAAAACCTAGAGAAATAAGACAGAACACATTGTCAGTAGTCAATGGCACAGAATAAGGTCAGCGAGGAAGAAGATGGGGTGGTACAATGCATAATGAGTTCACTGTAGGACAAGGAAAAAATGAGAAATGAATTTTGGTGATTTAAAAAAAATAGTGAGGTCTGTAGGGAGGCAAGAGACTACAATTAATTTAGAATTGATTTAGAATGGGCAGATGACCAAAAACCATAGCCCAATCATTTATAAACTTGAGAAGAAAGGGCAACAGAAAGGGACCAAATATCAAGGGAACACATTAAAAAATAAGACAAAACAAAAAAATCAATAAGTATATTGGCAAGCTAAAGGAAAGAAGACCCAGTAGTAAACTGAAGGTACTTTTTAAATTAAAGAGCACTCTTAAAGGATACTTCTTGTTAGTTATCCTTGTGTCTAAGATTCTAATGTATGTGGGGCACAAGGGAGAAGCACTTGTAGTGTATAAATTATGGACCTGGGAATGAAAGCATCTCTCTCATTAATTCTAAGTAATTTACAGGAAAAGGCACCTCCTCTTCTATTGGAGGAGAAATGTACCTATTAGAGAGAAAATTTACACTGAGGAGATGACTACCTTCTAGAACAGCTCAAACAAACATGCTATTCGGTAATGGAGGGGGAGAACAGAAATATCGTAATTTAAACCAACTCATATATTAGTAAAGATTTAGTAAAGGTTTTATTAGTATAATAATGCCAGTGTTAATATATTGTTATTCCATCAGTAATTATCTTATTATTACTATCCTGAATAGTAAAACTATACTGAACTTCAAAAGTAAACAGCCAACTATGCTAAGTACTTGCTATTAGGACATTTGCTAGCTCTCCCTTCTATGAAGACAATGAACTGAAATCAAAATTGTTAATAATTTAATCCCACATCTAGATCTAATACTTGATCTTTCATCTTTCCCAAGCACAGAATAGACTCCAACACATTTTGCCAAAGTCGTGACATAGAAGAAAAAAATTAAGACCCAGTGTTTTGAGAAGAGGGACATGATTTCTCATGAAGGTACATGGTATACCAAAACTACAGGGCTATTGAAGAGGATGATTATAAGGTGTGGAATGAGGCAGAGGACATCTTCATTACACAGCCAAACTGTGAACTTAATAAAGAAAAGGTTTAATTTAAAACTCTATCTTTTTACTTATCTATACATAATAGAGATTAGTTTTGGGAAATGGTCAATGAAAATTCTAGAAAAGCAACAGAAGTTCTTTGTGGATTCTTTAGCAGAGACACAAAGCACTAGCTCTTTCCTTAAAGACTATGGGAGAGACCTGTCAGCTAGCAGGGAAATTTCAGAAATGACTGCAGCGATCTGAGCATGTTCAGCTGTCCTGAGTAACTCCTTACTCAAATGATAGGAAGAACTATTCCTCACGGAAAAGAACAAAGACAGAGAAGGATAGCTTACGAGAGACTGGAGCCAACACAAATTTAGAGGTGAAATATAAAGGTGAAATTTATGACTTTAATTTCAGTTTTTCCATAACTAGCTATCTGACCATCATGGGCTGGCTAAAATTCTCTAGACATCACCATAAAATAACGTTAAGCTAAATGATCCAATCAAGATCTTAACACTAGCAGCTACAGCCTAGATCCGAAATTCTGCTAAAATGGTAAAGAGCCTGTTTATGTGTAGTCTGATCAATACAATCAATCAACACTGACACAACTATGTTATGTTCTAGTCAAATAAACATCACCAAAACAAACCCAGTTTTATTTTATGAAACAAGTTGCTATGAATCCAAACTTTTTGCCAGGTACCGGTGGCTCATGCCTATAATACTAGCTATTCAGGAGGCTGAGATCTGAGGATAGCAGTTCAAAGCCAGCCCGAAGGAATGTCCATTGAGACTCTTATTTCCAATTAACTACCAGAAAACTGGAAGTGGCACTGTGGCTTAAGTGGTAGAGCGCTAGCCTTGAGCTGAAGAGCTGAGGGATAGCGCCAAAGCCCAGAGTTCAAGCCCCATGACAACAAAACAAAAAACAAAAAATAAAAAACAAACCACACATAAACAAAACTTTTCATATCCAATCAGCAAATTTGGAAAGAATTAAGTTTGTAAAATATGAACAAACCTCTAGATTCAAGGTATAATATATGCCACATCTTTTTTTTTTTGGTCGGTCGTAGGGCTTGAACTCTGGGCCTGGGCGCTGTCCCTTAGCTCTTCAGCTCAAGGCAAGCACTCTACCACTTGAGCTACAGCGCCACTTCCGGTTTTCTGGTGGTTTATTGGAGATAGGAGTCTCACGGTCTCTCCTGCCCAGACTGGCTTTGAACAGCAATCCTCAGATCTCAGCCTCCTGAGTAGCTAGGATTACAGGCGTGAGCCACCAGCGTCCAGCTATGCCACATCTTTTATGTTGGCATATTCATGTGAAAATATATTTACTTATTATACATATTAAAATTAAAAACCCATATTAAGTACAATACTTATAAATATAAACTTAAAATTCAAGAAGACAATCATGAGGATTTTTTTTTCAGAATTTTAATATAACTTTTTGATATAAATAATGTCAGCGTGTCTAGAACATTTATTTGTTCCTTTGGTACTTACCTATTGCATATACAACATATGCTTTAGTAATTATCAGAATCTTTGATTCATGAAAAAATGTGAAGATAACACTTCTATGTTTAGTTTATTAATAAGACAAATATGTTAATATTATTCATAAATGAGTAATTATACTTTTTAAGTTTCTAATAAAATTTTCATACCATTAAAACAAAATAAGTAGTTTATCATGAACAGAAGGTCTTACTAAACAACTGCATTGACAGTATTTATTATATAATAAAAAGTAAGAGTCATTTCCTTTCTGTTGTAAACATTAGCTTGTCTATACTCTTTCATAAACATTACTACAATTGGCTCTAAACAGACACTTTTTGGATGTCAAACTATTTCTAGAGGAAAACAGTAAAATTAGGAACTATTATTTGGTTTGTAAGTTACATGTACTAATTTCAAGAGCTAATAGCTAGTTCCAGAGCTAGAAGTCCTCTGCCTTAGGAGCTTTTACTATGGAAGTCTGGTAAGAAACACTATGCACAGTGGCTGAGACATGGCATCAGAAGACAGACTGCCTGAGGTGAATCCTAGCCACTTACTAGCCCTGTGACTTTGGATACATTTAAGAATGCCTTTAATGGAAGTGGCGCTGTAGCTCAAGTGGTAGAGCACTAGCATTGAGCCGAAGAGCTGAGGGACAGTGCTCAGGCCCAGAGTTCAAGCCCCATGACCAACAAAAAATAAATAAAAATTAAAAAAAAAGAATGCCTTTGTTACTTGATTCCCTTATCTTAAGCAAAAGAGATGCTGTCTACTGAGTTTTTATACTTATTTTCATTTTTAAAGTACAAACGTTAAATGTTTATAGTTACATTCCAACAAGTTTCCATATAGTAACATTTCTACTAAACACACAATGACTTCATCTAGCAATTATAATATGAATCATTATTTTAAAAATATTTGCTTCATATCTCAGTAGAAATATTGAAGATGTGAGACACAGTCTGTGTGTGTGTATGTGATATATATATATATATATATAAATGATTAAGATAAAACAATAAGAACAAATTAGGCTCTAATACATTTTTTAAACAATCTTTAACTTCCTCAGCTCAATTGCTTTCTTGTATTCCTTCTATGTCTACTTTCTTAGAGATTGGGTTTTGTTTCTTTTTGGAAACCAGTCTCCTGGTTATGTTTGTTTATGTTAATCACCAATTCCTAATCCTCCTGCCTGAAACTCCAGAGTAACTAGAACCTACTTTTCTTTTTTTCCTCTCTTTTTGGTGGAAAAGCTGTATTGAGGATTGAACCCGGGACCTCCATTTAAGCCAAGCAAGCACTTTAGCTCTTTTACTTGTTTTGTTTTTATTTTAATTTATTGTTATTATAGAGGTGATATACAGAGGGGTTACATTTACATGTGTCAGGTAATAAGTACATTTCCTTTCATACAGTGTCATCTATTCCCTCATAGAACCTATTTTTGTTGTCATTAGCTGTTGCTTCCAAATTGTAAATTTTCATAGAAATTTGATACTGAACTCTGCATACTCTATTCCCCATAAATGGTATTAATGTTCTTATAAAGGCTCCTGAGAGCTCTTCTGCCCCTTCTATCAAGTTAGGTCATAGTAAGAAGATGATCACCTATGAACTAAGAATCAAGCGCTCTCACCAAACATCAAGTCCACTGGTGCCTTGATCTTGAACTTCATAGCCTCCAGAACTGTGAGAAATAAATTTCTATTGTTCATAAGCTACCCAATTTGTAATATTTTGGCATAGCAGCTCAACTGGACTAAAACAGGCATATTTCAAAGAAATATTTAACATGCAGTAATATATCCTACTATTTGTAATAATGAATTTGTCATAGTTTCATGTGGAAAACTCAGGATTTTGACTTTTATAAAGTATCTCAAAAGTTGACATATATTGAAAATATAAAAATTTGTTACTTTTCAACAATACTGGTACTTGCTTATGATACTTAACATTGACTAATTTTAATTGTACATATACGTGATTACATTTACACTGAATAAGGCTTCTCAACATTAACAATACTGCTAAAAACTATACTAAAACTAAGCACCATTGTGATTTAAGGAAAATAAAACTTTCAAAAATTAAATTGGGCCATACCTCTAACATTAACTGTGTAAACTCTTCATTACTAAGGAATGTAGGTTTCCAGTCCTGTCGAATTTCACTAGCATCTGACTGTGCAGTTATTTCTGTAAAAAGAAAAAAAAATTCAACATCTTAGTGACATAATCCAACCACTGGGACAGTACAAAAATCCACAAGTTGTCTTCTCTCTTCATTATAGATGAATAGATGAGAATGATAGGCAGTAACATTATCTGTATATGTAAATAGGAAGCCAAGTTTTGGAAGGATAAAATATTTGTATTTATGTGGGACATTCTCTCCTTCGATGTAGTCTCCTAGTAATACCAGTTTCTCTTTTTCTTTTTACTAGGGAGTTCTGATAAGCTTTAGGGCTTGAGATTACTTTCTGCTCGACACAATTTCCAAACAGGAAAAAGAATAAGCATATCGAAACAAGATTATTTCAAACAGTTTTGCAGGAATTCTTTTTTTCCTCATCATTCATTGGCAATATCTAGACCAAAGATAAGAAATGAGCCTAGACGAAAGGAGCCAATGAGGTCAGTCTGTTTTTAACAAAGACGATCTTAGCCCTACTTATTTTCAGGCAAAAAGAGTCCTCTCAATCTATACTTTTTTATAATCAAATGACATGACATTTGAAATGTCTCTGCTCAGTATCTGCTCTGTACATGTTCTAAATGGCAAAGAGTTTTTCATAATTATTACTATTTTATTTTGCTATACACTTCTAATAGTAGCTATGAGAAAGTTAATGACAATAAAATTGGAACTATTTTTTAAATCCATATTGTTTTCATTTTATTATTATAAAGGTGATGGTCAGAGGGATTACAGACACATAAGTCAGGGAATGAGTACATTTCTTCTTGAACAGTGTCATCTCTTCTCTTGTTTTCTCTCAGTTCTTCCCTCCCGACCTGACCTCCCTCTCCCACAAGTTGTATAGTTCATTTTCAACACATTATCTATTATCACTGCTGTATGTGTTCACCCTTTGTCCCACCATTTCTGTGCTCCTCCTTACCCTCCTTCAAACAGACAAACTTATATACAAGACAAAAGGTACAGAAAACAAAAACAGCAACAAAAGAGAAAAACAAAAATTTTTTGTTTCAATTTCTTGGGATTCATTTCCATAAACATCATTTTATATGATCATATACACATACTATTGAACCTCTGTGATCCTCTCCTAAGAATATCCCCCTTTGGTTTCGCTGTGCCAATGTCTAAAGTCCTGTATAATGTATTGTGTACAAGTATATATTTTTTGTCCTTACTATCCAATGTGTTTACCTGTATATTTATAGGCACATTCTAGTTAGAACAAATGAGGGAAACCATGAAACCTATGTTCATTGGGTCAGGCTTACTTCACTTAATTTTTCAAAGCCTTTCCATTTCCTTACAAATAGTACAATATCATTCTTTCTGATGGAGGCACAGAATTCTATTGTGGATATATACCATATTTTCTTGATCCATTCTTCCACTGAAGGGCATCTGGTTTGTAAAATCTGAATAATTTAGGTAATGAAGTCTTTTCCATTTTAAAAATACAGACATATTATGATAACCAAACCAAACAAAAATATATTTCATAGGCTGTTTTTCTACAAAATATACTGTTTTATAGTGACAGGTATGGATTACTTTATTTATTATCAATACATAAATACAACATACTGTCATACCAAATTTGGCATATAGGAAATGCCTATCAAAAAAAAAAATGTGGGCTGGGAAGGTGGCTCAGTGGTAGAGCGCTTGCCTTGCATGCATGAGGCCCTGGGTTCGATTCCTCAGCACCACATAAGCAAAAAGGAAAAAGCCAGAAGTGGCGCTGTGGCTCAAGTGGTAGAGTGCTAGCCTTGAGCTGAAGAGCTGAGGGACAGCGCCCAGGCCCAGAGTTCAGGACCCACGACCGGACCCCCCCCAAAAAAAAACAACAAAAACCAATAGCATTGAGCATATAGTGTCTAATTAGGGATTAATCTCAATCAGTGTACCATCTAAAAAGAACACTGAATACTATCTTTAGAGATATAATGTACTGACAGTGGTGACAGTAAATACAATAAGCAATTCTGACACATTTACAAATCAAGATTTGAAGCCAACCAAGGCAGACAAAGACCTTTATGTCCAAATAACCAGCAAAACGCTGGAAGTGGAGGCATGACTCAAGTGGTAGAGCACTAGCTTGTGAATGAAAAAGCCAAGTAGGAGCTCAAGGCTCTGAGTTCAAGCTCCAGTATGGGAATAAAGAGGGAATGTAACAAACACTCCTGGACATTTACCCAAATGATCAAAAACAAGGCCACACTAAAGCTACCAGCACTACTATGTTCACTGAAGCATTATTTACCATAACTAAGATATGCAATCAACCCAGATGCCCCTCAGTAATGAATGGATCATGAAAATGTGGTATATATATATATATATATATATATATATATATATATATATATACAATGGAATTTTATGCTTCCATAAGAAAGAATGACATTGCCCCATTCATAAGGAAATAAAGAGACTTGAAAAAAATCATATTAAGTGAAGTAAGCCAGACCCAAAGAAACATAGGCCCCATGGTTTCCCTCATTCGTAATAATTAGTATATGTCTAGGATAGTTCTAACAGAGGATCACAGTAGCTCAACAGCTATGTACATATGACCATATAAAATGATGCTAATTGAAATGAACTCCAAGATATGGAAACAAGAGGGTTTTGTTTTTGTTTTTAATGTACTCTGTGAAGTTATTTCTTTTTTCTTTCATGTTTTTTTTTCCTTTGATTTATCCCCTGTTGTGACCGTTTTTGATTTTGGTACCCTGTGTCTTATATATACATTTATCTGATTTGGGGAAGGGAAGGGGAATCACAAATGGTAAGACAACGGACAAAGGGTGAACCAATGCAACAGCGATACTCACAAGACAGTCACTGTGTTTGTTGGAAACAAACTTTACAACTTGGGTGACAATCCCAAGTTGGTTGGTGGGAGGGGGGGGAGTGGAATGAGGGAAAGTGGGAGAAAATGAGGGAGGGGGTTACATGGTTCAACAAGAAATGTAGTCAATACCTTACTTATGTAACTATAACCTCATTGCACATCACCTTTACAGTAAAATGAATTCTCTCTCTTTAAAAGGTGAAGAAGGATCTAATCTTATGTGTCTGTAGCTAGAGTATCTCATACTTTAAGGAACAGGCCCTTTTAAAAAGAAATCAGCAACCATTTTACAAAATTAAAAATTTACCTTTATGTTTTCGTAAAAAATCAATGCTTTTCTGCAGAACAGTAGATTTGTCCATCTTTCTAGCATTACCAGGAAGCATGGAACCCAGTTCTTTAATGAGAACATTAAACTGATCTCTACGTTTCTTTTCAGATTTGTTTCTAGATACTCTGATGAAAGGAGAAAGCAATTTTAAACAATCCACTGAATTACACAAAAAATGTAATACAACATCAATTTGGACATGACACAGCATATACTTCAACATGTACAGATAGATAGCAATAAACTTACTTCTAAGTTTATCAATGATAGAATATTAGTTTGGGCAATAGTTTTTCATCTCAGTTTACCAGTACAGAAAATTTTGCTTATCAGGCATTTAACTTACGTGTTTTTACAAAAATGCCAGTAAGAAACTACATTCACACTGCAAGTTTACTTGACATCCACCTATGGTTGTAAATTTACAAGATTGTAAATAGAGAAACATTTTGTACGTGTAAGTATGCATTATTAAAAAGTACTAAGAGAAAGTTATCCATCTAATGTCATTTCTTCTTTATATATTTAGATCCTAGGCTCTAACAGAGAGCTATAATTAGTTTTTGCTTCTTTCTATTAGGGTGTAGGCTCAAATGTTCCACATAAGTACTTAGTCATTATACCTAACAACAGTAAGCATTCAAAATATATATATTAAATGAACAGTTACTGCTATTCTATGTAAAGGAGTAACCAGTAAACAAAAAGCTCTTGAGGGCTGGGGGCATGACTCAAGTAGCTGAACACCTGACAAGCAAGTGAGAGGCCCTAAGTTCAAACTCCAGTGCTACCATTTTATAGTATCTACAATTACCTGCTCCCTGAAGATGGATTTTCTAGTTCAAGTTTATGTTAAAAGCAAAGCATACTTTTTCAAATGATTAGAGGAGGAGAATTTTATTTCATTGTTAAACTAAAAATATACTATCTAAACTCTTCTACTTCCTAATATATCTAAATTCTCAAAGCAGAGAGCTTTGGCAAAATATTAATTTTATTTACAAGTATACATGTATATATTATTTACTACATTCATATATTATGTATATATTATTTACTACATTCATATATTATTTACATATTATGACTATCACATATCTCATATTAAGCTACCTTTTTGCTTTGTCCTTGTCATCTTCTTCCACCAACCCATCAAAAATACTACTGTCATCTCTAAAAAAAAAAAAGAAAGTAGACAGATATAAGATATGTAAGATGGAAGTGGCACTGTGGCTCAAGCCGTAGAGCGCTCGCCTTGAGCTGAAGAGCTGAGAGATAGCGCCCAAGCCCAGAGATCAAGCCCCACGACCGACAAAAAAAAAAGATATGTAAGATATATAAAAGCAGATCACTGAACATCAATGCCACAGTGACAGGTGGATCCACTTGGTTACATCTAGGATTTGTTAAGTTAAGGGACTGTACAAATTAAAGCTCTAACCTTTTTTCTAATAAAGTTTAGCTATTTTTAGCCATGCTTAAAAGTTTTTCAATACATGAATTTTAAAGTCTTTTTACTTAACTATACTATCTCTACAATATGCTAACAATGTAATATAACCACTTTAAATATACTGCTCCAACCTAATAAACAGTAAAAAAAATCTGAATCCAGTATGAAATTAGCATAATTTAAACTTTTTTGAGACATTCACTTTAATAAAACACAAATTGCTCATAAATATAACAATAATCCATTAATTATTTTCATTTATTTACTAATCCATTGACAAGACCAGTGGTGGCTAGCTTCTTAAGTTTCCAATGGTTTATGACTTTTTACATTAATCTATCATTCAATCCCTTATTTACATCTTTTTGTGGCACATAAAGACTTATAGCCTATAATGTACGTTCTGGACTTATTGAGATCATATGTACTTTTATTTCATGGACTTTTTAGGAATAGACTGAAGAATCTATATATGCTTGTATATTTGTTTTTTTTTGTTTTTTTTTATACTTGTATATTTGTGAAAAAAACCTTTCATAATATTTACAGGCCTAAGTAATCCATTAATAATTACAGCTTTTGGGCTCTAGGCATGGCTCAAGTGGTAGAGCAACAAAGCAAGCACTTCAAGTCCCAGTGCTTAAAAAAATATTGCTGCTCTTTGTCTGAACAGATGTCAGCCCTAAATGGTACACTGACTAGGAGGGAAACTGGCAATTATTTAGAAGTGTAATGCCAAAATCATATCCAATCTCTCTAGGGCACTAAATAAATACCCTTTCTGAAAAGTCCACTCAGAGTTCATCTGCAACTAGGGCAAAACCCAATTCTCTTAAGAGAATTTCTTGTTCCTCAAGTCTTATATTCTGTATAGTGAGTATCTTCACTCTTCAGTTCATTGAAAAGGAGGAAGGCTGCCGTCAAATGTCAACAACTACTTCTACCTGAAAAACTCAAAGAATCCTCTACTCATGAATTACACAGTGCAGTATGATGGTCAGACAAATCAATCAACACAGGTTAAAATTCCAGTTCATCACTTACTAGAAATGTGATTTTAAACAAGTTGTTTATCCTCACTAATCTACATTTGTAAAAGTGTATAGAATTATGAAGTTAACACATAAAATACGCCACTCATTATCAGAGAGTAGGTGCTCTAAAAGTGTTACTATAATTTTACCATATTTAGCATACTACTGACTTTAAGGCCACCATTCTTTATAGGTCCATTAAAAAAAAAACTGAAAAAAATGCTAGTTAAAGTGAACTAGGTATCTGTCAAACATAAGAGATGTTAAAATGCAAACAAACAACCTCAAGAATCTTAGAATCAATAAGGAGATTTATCCTATTCCCAGAAGTGATTTAAAAATTAAAATTCAACCAATGATTCTAATTTATTTACCACTTATCAGTCACAAATGCTAAGATGTTGAAAGGATGGACTGAGCACCAGGAAACTCTAGAGGGTGCCAAAAAATATCTGCAGTTGTTACAGAACAAATTTTGAGTAAAGCACTTTGAGATTAAGATTTAAGATCCATTAAAAATATAAGAAATATGATGTTTGCTTTGGCTCTTAAAAATGCTAATGTTAGTAGGGTGCCTGAGGCTCACACCTGTAATCCTAGCAACTCAAGAGGCTGAGATCTGAGGATCACGGTTTAAAGCCAGTCCAGGCAGGAAAGTCTATGAGACTCATACCTCCATTTAACCACCAGAAAACTGGAAGTGGCACTGTGTCTCAAGGTGGTAGAGTGCTAGCCTTGAGCACAAAATCTAAGGTACAGCACTCAGGTACTGAGTTCAAGCCCCACAACAACAACAATTAATGTAGCCAGATACCACTGGCAGCTCATGCCTGCAGTCCTTGTCATCCAGACTCGAATAAGAAAGTCTGTTAAGACTCTTATCTCCAACTAACCACCAAAAAAACCCAGAAGTGGAGCTATGCCTAAAGTGGTAGAGGGAAAAAACTCAGGCCCTGAGTTCAAGTTCCAATACCAGCACCCAAAATGCTAATATACTTTACTTACTATTACATGTTTTGTATCCTGTTTGTTCAGTACAGAAACATAAAGTAATAATCATATTTATGGATAAAGTTCCTGCCAATTTGACATAAATCATCATTTTAATAGTGAATTTTAAGTAATTTTATATAATTAAAAGTCTCTATAAACATACCTGTCAACAATTGAGCTCATTTTACTACAGCTTACGGTAAACAACATAACATACAACGTTTTCGTCTTGTGGTAGACATTTGTACTTCTCCTTGAGTGAAAAGAAAAGTATATGGTTACTAGTGTTCTACAAAGTTAATCTGAGAAATACTATCTTATTACAGTTTTACATAGACCATAAAGGCCAAAATATTATTTTCAAGCAAGTATCTTTGATTGAGACACATGTTAAGTTTTGTTTTTAAAGGGGAAGGATTCAGACTCATAATTCATTTCTTTTTACTATAAAATACTAAAAAACACTTTCATTATTCATTGTATTATTTGGCTATATAACTATAAACAAGCACCTAACTGGTGATAAATATTGTTTAAACTATTTTCTGTTGAACGATTCAACAGAAAACAGGCTCTCTGCATACATGGATAAAAGTTTCTGCAGATTAAAAAAAAAAAAGTGCAGTCAGAATGATGCTTGTAGCTTCTGTCTGTAATCTTAGCTACTCAGGAGTCTGATATCTGGAGGATCACAGTTTAAAGCTAGCTAGGGCAGAAAAGCACAAAAGACTCCATCTCTAAAATAACCAACAAAAACCAGGGCTAAAGACCTGGGCTAGAAGGCCATCCAAGCAAGTAAGTCAAGCATGAGGCTGAGTTCAAACTCCAGTACTAGTGGTACTCCCTAGTACCACTCAAAATTTAAAAATAAAATGTAAAAGTACAGTGAGAGAGAAGATAAATACATAATTATATTAGAGGTATAATGAAGGTATTTACTGTATAATGGGATTACTGGAGAAAGAAACAACTAAGTGTGCCCATGGGATTTATAGGAGGAAGTCAGAGGAAGTATTTTTTATAACAATGAATCCTTCAGGATTTAAGACTTTTGTTAAAGGCTAACAACTTCAACATCTTCTGAGAACTTAAGTGGTAATCTCAGACTCCATTCCAGTCCTACTGAATCAGGGTCTATATCTTTTATGAGATCCCCTTATGATGTCTTGTAAGATTATTTCAGTTCAAGGCCAGGAAGACATAAAAGCTAGTAGGACTCTCAGCCAAGAAATAGCAATGTACAATAGCATAGGCTTTCATGAGATGAGGGAGTATCATAGATGAGAAACTCAAGAGGTTTAGCAATTTTCATATAGAAAAATAAGGCAAGTTGCAATGAAAAGTTTTAATTACTAGTGTATAAAGTAGGAGTATGAGTGGGAAAGTAAACAAATGAAGAATAGCCTTATTTATAGTCTCCTATGATTTAAATGTTTAAGTAATGAAAATTTACTTTCAAATTGAATCACAAGCTTAACATTTGCCTTTCCATATTCTACATAGACTTTCAAAAGTATAAGGCAAGGTTTTTTATTGTTGGTTTTGTGTGTGTGTATGTGTGCATGCATGTGCACGCACACATGCGTGCTGGTACTGGGGCCTGAACTCCTATCCATCCTTACACTCTCGTTCAGCTTTTTTCTGCTCCTGGCTGGTGCTCACTCCTGGCTTTTTGCTGGTTAATTGGAGATTCAAGTCTCAAGGATGTATCTGCCCCAGATAGCTTTGAACCAAAATCCTCAGGTATCAGCATCTTGCGTAACCTGATCTATAGGAATGAGATACTGGTGCCTGGTGAGGGAAGTTTTGATCACATTATATTCTGATATTCTAGAGTTATGAGTTAAATACTGAATTAATGACCTTGATTCAAATAAGCACCCTCAAAGTTTTGAGACATACGAAGTTCAACTTTGGGCTGGGAAGGTGGCTCAGTGGTAGGGTACATGCCTTGCATGCATGAGGCCCTGGGTTCGATTCCTCAGCACCATATAAGCAAAAAGGAAAAAGCCAGAAGTGGC